TTCCATGGATGGATGACAATTTCCTGACTAATATTCCATGGATAGATGACAAAATCGTATAATAATTTAGATCTGATCCGTTAGATAAACCGTGGGCCAAAACCATGGGCCTTACTGACAGGTATTTTAATCTTATCCTCATTGACACGTCATCTATTAATTATTTTGCAGTCTTTCTTTTCTCCTTTTTTTCATCAGTCAACAGTTATATTCTTTGTTTGTTTTTTTTTCTTCTCATTTTTCTTGTTTAGTTATATTCTTTCTTTCTTTTTTAATTTTTAAAAAAAATGGAAAAGATTTAAGGGAGAGACACTTGGGTCTTAATCTTTAATCACTTTGACAAGTAAGTTTCTTAAACCTTTTTCTTTTTCTTTTTTTCTTTTTTTTGTCAATTTAAATTTCTTAAATATGGGATATGGAGTTAATGATGTATAACTCAGTTGGTTGAGCGCTTTCAACTCCACTCTTGTAAACAGAAGTTTCAAACTCGTAAGCACCTAATGAATATTTGTGTAAACTTCTCTCCCCAAATCACTTAAACTAAAACATGGGACATGGAAAATTTCGACCTAAGCCAACAATGCAGGAGAAAATTTCTTGTGTGTCCAAAACGCAATTTAAATACAAACACACGGGATGGGACCCATAACAAATACAAAAGTAAGCTTCACATACAATTCTGTAAATGCACAAGTGATGGACCCCAAAACACACATTCTTCTCATATCCCGTATTCACCAACCCAACAATTTCATAACCGAGTACAACAAGAAGGTTCACAATAAATCATGTTTTGCTTTAAAGTTAGACATAAATGGAAAGCGAAACCCAACAAATCCCGCATTCAATCATGTTAAAGTTACGTCATTATACGATACTAGTCACAATTAAGTATAAGATTACAAATATAATTCGTCATTGCATTTATGTGACTCAAACTTACAAGTTACAACCTACTTCAATTAAGTGGAAACAATTACCAAATGGTGTAGTAACAAATCCTGTAATTTTGTTCTTAGAATTATATTTCATATATATAATATTTTTTAGTATATTTGAATCCTTTCTTCACTGAGATAACGCAAAACTTATGTCCGATGTTTAAAGAAACAGCCTAGCATTAATTAATTTGGTTTGTTGTGAAAAGGGAGTAGGAGGAGCACCTAACCCGAATAATCCATAAAATATATATGTGGGGATGGATGAATCAATTTGCATCCTTTTGTATTCAATACGTTTTTATGCTTAGCCGTCGTCCCCCACATGCAGCTAATCTCCATTGATTCAATTGATATTTTATGCTTCCAATTTGAACTTGCCAACAGAAATTTGAAACTGTACCACAGGCCATCCATGGTTTTTGGAACTTAGAAACTTAGACCCATCTTATTTTAATTATTATATGGAGAAATATGAGCCCAAATAAATTGAATTCATCATACCTGGGGAATTATAATATAAAAAACATATAATTTGGTAATTGATGAAGATAAATTATAAAATATGGGTTTGAATTAACATAAATAAAATAACAGATTCAAATTATAGTGTCAAAACTTTGCTAGATTTTAATTTGAAGTTAATTTTACAAATTGAAGGATGACCTTTGAACATGTGATATAAACTTACGCTTACATTTTTTTGCTAAGGTTTTTTTATATTTATATTTCTCTAATAAATTATTCAAAATTATGTGAGATTTGAATTGTATGATAATATTGCTTTCAACCATCATAAAAGACTTTGTGGCCACCAATGTCTTAAGCCCTAACACTGGGATGTAGACATGTAGCTTGAGTCGCACACATTGAAGGCCAAATCAAATTTTGTTTGCACCTCACCTCATAGGATTAACAATCAGTTTGGTTTATTTCAAAAGTTTTTCTAGTGTTATTTGAGACACCCTAGTTTTATTTAAGACGCTTATTTTAAGATCATAATAACCCTTAGATTAAGGTGGATTTTATTTAAGACGCTCATTTCAAGGCCGCAATCACCCTTAGATTAGGGTGGGCTCTAGTTCAGGGACAAACCCATAGTGGGGACAATGGGGTCAAACGACCTTATGGACTCTATGAAAACAAGCTAGAAGGTCCTCTTTACCTAACTGTGTGACCCCATGAATGAATTGAAGGAAATGGTTGCTGGTGTGAGGAAGAAGAAGCTGCCCAGCGTGGTTCTTTCTTTTTTAAAAACATGCTAGCCAAAACGGCGTTGTTTTGGTCCACCAATTTTATTAAAAAAAACACGTTGGCCTAAACGGCGTCGTTTTGGCCCAACGGTTATTTTTTTAATAAAATGAACTTGCCGCAACGACATCGTTTTGGTCCAGATCTTTAAAAAAAAAAAAATTAAACAGTTTCAACACCCCTCCACCCGACCCCAGCATCTCCAAAACCCCCATTCTTTTCTCCTCAATTCTAAATCCCCAATCTCCATCCCACTAAACCTTTAAAAAAAATTTGAACTTTTACACTATGACCCTATGAGATAAGATTCCTGGATTCGTCACTGCTCTAATTCACTCAAAATAATTAGATAAATAAGATTTCAATATTATTTTTAGAAAATTTAGCATATTTAGTGAAAATTAGCCCATCCCATTAGAGCATCTCCAGCGCTAGACCCAAACCGGGGGAAAGGCCCTCCTGGCGAGCCCAAGCGCCCTCTAGTGCGAGAGAAGAAGCCCGGGCATGCCCAAGGGCAAGTTCCGCTTGGGCTTCAGCCCGAGGGCTGTGCCGTCAGCGCTGACGTCACAGCACGGTAATTCAAAATTTTTTTTACCGTTGGCATGTAAATTTCACGCACCAACAGTAAACGAAAATTTGATTTTCGCTCACTAACGTTAGCGTGACGTCACTGCTGATAGGCCCCAACGGGAATATGCCACGTGGCGCTTCCTGGACGCTCCGATGCAATTTTTTCCAGAAATCTGACGGTCTTAATTTTTTTGGCTTAAAAAATTGCAAAAAAAAATGAAAAAAAATGAAAATTTTTTTTAAAAAAAAATACCAAAAAATTCTGGATTTTTTCCTATAAATACGTAACAATTTTATTCACTTTCCACATCAAATCTTCATGCAAACTCATTTCCTTCCAATATTTTTTACTTTCCACACCAAATTTTCTATTACAAAATTTCATTTGTGCAAAAATACAAATGTCATCTTCCATCGAAGCCGGAGGGTCGTGGACAAATGTTCGAAGAGGTCAAAATCTTGGCAACGAGGTAAAAAAAATAATTTCCGTTTTATTCAATTTAATGTCTTTATATATATATATATATATATTTCTTGCATTTCCAATTTCTTTTTTTTAATGGATTAGTCAAGGCAAAACAAAAAAGAGGAAAACCATTAAACATGGCTCCTCAAGTGAACAGTGCCCGCAGTCAGTTCCAGTGGTGCGTTCCGTGTCAGAAATATTGGCACTATTACGTCATCCAAAGGAAAATACTCACCCACGTCGTGATCCAGTGGAACCACCTCTGCCAATGATGGAGTTGTCCTTGTATTCCATTGTGTCGGACTATGAGGACCAAGAATATTTCAATTGTATGATGAGTGAGATGTGAATTTTATAATAAATATGGACACGTGGTAACCCAAAATTTTATCCGAAAAATGTTATCTTAAATTTTAAGTGAAAATTTTATAATAAATAGTGACATGTGACAATCGAAAATATAATCTAAAAAGCTTATCAAAATTAATGGTTTAAAAAAAAAGAAAAAAAGAAATAAAGTACAATAAATAGTATTTGCCTTAGATTTGCCCTAGACTTAGCCCTCATGGGTGGAACCAAAAATGGCAAGGCTGACACTATTTATGTGAATAGTGGCAGCCCTTGTCCTAGACTTAGCCATTGTGGGTGGAGATGCTCTTACACAGAAAATTAGTCTACTCTACTCTAGCAGCTCCTTAAATGTAAAAAGAATAATTTATAACCTGCCTATATGACAATTCTTGGTTTGGCCCTTAGCCCTTTTAAGAGATTCTATAAATAAGGGTCAAGGTTGAAGGTTCATACCCTATTCTGTTTTAACAATTCAATAAACTACCCCTAAATTTATCCTTCGAGGTTTCTCCAAAATAAAACAAAAAACAAAAAAACAAACAAATGCCACACAAACGAAAATATCGTTAAATGGATTTTCTATCCAATATTTCTAAGTTCTAACAATTATTACCCAAAAATAAAAAAATAAATATATTTGAAATTGTTTTCATTTTATTTCAAATTTTTATTTTCACTTTTGTTACTTTTCTCTCTCATCCTCCCTAGCTTAATCTCATCCTCACTTCCATTCTCATTCTCATTTTTATCTCTATATTTTAATAAATAAATAAATAAATAATTATCAAATGGGCCTTAATTGCACGAAGAGATTAAAAAAAACCGAAAACAAATCATCCCCTATTTATTTCCAAAGCATACAATTCCAGTAATTTCGCAACAAATCATGAAAACTAAAACAGGAAAATTCAGCGACCAGCAATCCGACATATCACCGACGCGGAATCTAATCACTTGCCGACGTGCCACGGCAACATTAGCAATCCAAACTAAGGAACATCTAGACACTTCCGTGCCTGATCAGATCCGTCCTCACTGATTCAATTAGCCTAGGAGCCCCACAGGCTCGGGAATCATCGCCACCAGCGGGTCCCACAGACCACATGCCTCGTCGTGCTTGATTGGATTATTCAGTTTTAAAAGAAGAAAAAAAAAGACAACAGAAAATGAAAATTCCATAAAAAATACAACAGAAAAACTCGCAAGTCACAAGCTTCCGTCGGAAAATGACGATAATACCCACGCTCCCTCCCTATAAAAAACCCCCCACCCTCCGTTGCAAACGATCCCATGTCCGAGCTCTCAACTCCATAGCAAAAAATTCAAAGAGAGAGAGTGCGTAGACTTTCGTCAGATTTCCTTTTTCGGTGATATTTTCGTCAGATTTTGTTTTTTCTTCTTCATTTTCGAGCTAGCGATCAATCATGTTGGGAGTTTTCAGCAGCGCGATCGTATCGCCGCCGGACGAGCTGGTGGCCGCAGGCAGCCGCACTCCGTCGCCGAAGATAACGGCGGCGGCGCTGGTCAACCGCTTCGTCCAGAACAATGGGAGCGCCGTGTCCGTACAGGTTGGCGACCATGCTCAGCTGGCCTACAGCCACAGCAACGAGTCACCGTTACAGCCGAGGTAAGACAAAACGCGCTGCGATGTCGTTTTAACTGTTGTGATGACTCATCATACACCACCACTCGATACCCTCCAATTCGTTATTAATCAAACCGAGCAACTAGCGCGTAAGGGTGAAAAATAAAGTGTTCATAAAAGGAAGTGCGTGATTGGCGTTGGAGATCTTTACTTTTCGCGATATTTTTTATATTTATTATTTATTATTTTTTTGGTGCTGGATGAAAGTATGATCGATCATGATTAGATTTGATAATCATGATGATCGTCAAATCATGATCGATCCTGGATCTGATGATCATCTGAAATCGGACCATCGGGATTAGGAAGAAAACCAACGTTGGCGCCTTGGCGGTTACTGATAGTGGGAGGAGGTGGTCTCACATGACCGCCAGGCGACGCTATCTAGAATCAAGATTCTGTTGACTATATTGTTTCGAACGGGCCGCCACGTGGCAGTATCTCGAATATTTGATCACACAAACTTTACCAAAATTATGGATTTGTGGCCTCTTTTTAAAAATGATTTCTTTTTTCTTAATTGTATTTTATATTTGGAATAGTGTTTCAAAATATTTACTTTATCCCCCAATCAGTTTAAAAGTCTCCATCCAAGAATTGTAGTTGAAGGAGGTGGGGTCAGTTGACGATGGGCATGACGTAGGTGGGGTGTGGGTTGGGACCCCGATGGTTTCTTGGTTTAGGATTTGATACAATGAACGATGGAGAGATGCTTGGAGAGATGCTTGCAGGGATGTGTCAACGAGGTGTCCAAGGGGCACGCTCTATTTTTTTAATTATAGATATTTTACAGATATATATATATATTAATATAAACGATAGTCTAAATTACAGGATAATGAGATTTTTCTCACACACATCACAACTATGATGTCGTGAAGAAACACTTGTGTGCCGAGGGGATCAGAACCTAAGATATTTGATTTGCAAGTTAATGTCATTTTTCACTTAACTAGACTTGTTGGCAGATACATATTAAATATTAAAGCATGCGTTAATTGAAAAATTTAGTCTGTGGCATGCGTCATTGAAAAGAAACTTCCCATAGTAATATGTTTATGAAGTCTTCCATCACCAAAGTAATTGCACCATAGTGACAGTCCATATCCATAGGTGAGGAGAGTTGGGACCATAGCCTAGTTGTTTGATGATGTAGAATTGGAATAGAATAGTCTGTTTTTCAAAGGAGCTTAACTGGTCAAGGGTAATTAGTCCTCATTCGATTTCATGTGTTGAAATCCCCCTCCTAATATTGATCATGTAAAAATTGGAATATTCTTTATGCACAATGCACCCATGATAAGATTTTAGCTTCTAGTAGTAAATATCCAAGACCACTGTTCTGGTTCGCAATATCTGAGTGTTGAGAATGGGAAAAATTGCAGGTCATTTGCAGTGAAGGATGAGATATTCTGCTTGTTTGAGGGAGCCCTTGACAACTTGGGAAGCTTGAGGCAGCAATATGGACTAGCCAAGTCTGCAAATGAAGTGCTTTTGGTGATTGAGGCCTACAAGGCACTGCGAGACCGGGCCCCTTACCCACCTAACCATGTGGTTGGCCACCTCAGTGGAAATTTTGCCTTCATAGTATTTGACAAGTCCACCTCCACCTTGTTCGTCGCTTCTGTAAGTCCTTCCACCTCATCCAAGCAAAGAATCTTATTAATTTGATTTGGTAAAGCTAATTGCTGCTTTGATTGACCTCTTAACAACAATCAATTTGGATTTTGTGAAATTTTGACAGGACCAATATGGCAAGGTGCCTCTGTCTTGGGGAATCACTGCTGATGGATATGTGGCCTTTGCTGATGACGCAGAGTTGCTTAAGGGTGCTTGTGGCAAGTCACTTGCCTCATTCCCTCAAGGTGAGAAATCACAGCCGATGGATTCATTGATAGAATTTTCAGGAACCCAATTGGCACACCTAAATTCTTTGACTTTTGGATCCACCAAATAATAAGAAAAAATTAAAATTAAAATCTCTGTTCTTTGTTAACAATGGTGCTATTGATTTGTGCAGGATGCTTCTACTCCACAGCGGTTGGAGGCCTGAGAAGCTATGAGAATCCTAAAAACAAGATCACTGCTATACCTGCTACTGAAGAAGAGTTCTGGGGTGCAACATTTAAGGTAATATAAAGTCACTATTTTTTTTGTGGGAATCATTTACAAGATGTCAAAGAACTAGAGGTGCTATATGGCAACAAAAATAGTTGTCAAGGAACCAATAATAGCATATCATCAGATGGTGACAAATTACACCAACTTCTAGTGACGTTCATATCAACCACAAATTTGTTATTTTTGTCAACTTGATGGGTTGAAATTTCAGGTGGAGGGGCCAGCAGTATTTGCAGCCACAAAGTAGAGATTTTCCTGATAGAGTGCAGTCTTCAAAATCTATATCCATTTCAGGGAGGGCGGTTGGGGGAGAGGCTTTTATATGGTGTTGAATGTAAGGCATGCATCCGGGAGGGAGGGGCCATGTAAATACCTGGAAATGGTGACTGTTGTTGATAAGTGCTTGATGTTTTGTATGAGAGCTTTGTTTTCTCTTGTTGTAGTTGCTCGCTGTATTCTAGCTTCTACTGTTGTACAGCTATGCTTTTTATCTTTTAATGAAGTTGTATTAATTAAGGTTTCAATGCTTTTTCGTTGACTCATAATGCAATTATGAAACGTACGAGTTATTTTTCGGTGTGACAATCGAAAGGTTATGCGGTGCATTAATCCATGAGGTTTTATTTATCAATACTATACCTATATCTAGGTTCATGACATATTGCCATCTACTCGTGTTTTAACATGTAGATTAGTTAACAGGATGATCGCAACACTAAAAAATTCCTCACAAATACCAGCTCCATATTTTCAGTACCCAATACCACTGGACCAATTGCTGACAATCAGTTACTAAATTTGCTATAAACTGAAATGGCATTGGGTTTAGGGTTTTTGGTAACTTTGTCTTGTAACTCACCCAAAGCAAATTCGCATTTTGTGGTACTGGCTTGGCTGGAAACATCTTTTAGTTTGAGTGAATTGGATGGTTACTTTTGTAATGGTAGTTATAGAAATGATGGGGAAAATAAAAAAGTGGTCAACAAACACCATCAGAAAGCAACATAACATGTATTATTACACTAGGTTGGGACAGCCACAGTGGTCCATAATCTGATGCAGACCGGCTAGTAGGCTGGATCGGGCCAGATTTCCAAATGAAACTGGGCTCGGGCCTAGTTTTGGGCCGTCTCATAGGCTATGAAGGCTGGCCCCCATACCTATCTAACCCTTCTACTATTTATCATTCTATCTTCCTTTTGAGTAATATAATTGACACCCACTATTGTCTCAGCTGTTTAATATCAATTTGCAAGGTCTAGTCTACTAAAAAATGGCCTTAACTTGTAAATCAGTGGTCTCAAACTTGAACCTCTGTGGCACCTTAGTGATGTGTGTGTGTGAGAAATCTTCTCCATCTTATAGTTTAGACAATCACTTATATATATAAATAATATTTAACATCAACTAATGTGATGCATAACATTGCAATTGCATATTGGTTATAAATAAAATAAGTTCACACTAGACTCAAACATACACAAATATAATTCTACCACATCAACTGGGTTTTAAAAACTTGAGATATGTGTTGGTGCATATGCTAGGGATGACAATTGGTCAAATCCGGGGTGGATATGTCATTCCCATCCATGTTAAGCATTCTTCCTCCACTCCTGCCTTCATACCCGCAATATTCAATTTGGGGATTCCCCATCCTCACATTCGTTGGGAACGGATTCCCCGACCTGCACCCTTAAGAATAAAAAATTACTTTGTTGAATGAGGAAAAAGCACTATGAGCACAACATATGTACCAACTCAATTTTATTAACTAAAAATCCAGACTATTAAACAAAACACATGTCTAAGACTTGATCATCATTATAGAGGTAGCAAGCACCATCATCACACATTTTAATAATATATTTATGTGAAAAATAAATTATATATATTGTAAACGAGGAGGGTTCATGTCGAAGATTAGTGTTGGGGTCTTTTTCGTTCGGAAGGCTTGTCCGGGCTTGTTGATTCTTGGACTGCCATAGAGTAGTGAATCAAGCCTTCGTTGCCCCTTTTTATGAGTTAGGGAGAACTATGCCCCAAGCATCCCGAGGGAGAAGCAAGTCCTAAGGGAGTACTTTGTTCTTCTTCCAGCAGCTACGTGTTTTGTGCTGATGTTTCCAGCAACTAGACGAAGAGTTGGAGATGGTGCATTGATGTTGCACAGGCTTGGCATGAGAGTTTGCTTTGGTAAATCAAGATGCTACTAGGCTTGATATGAGAGGCTTGTGGCGTGGGAGCTAAGAGAAAATGAGCATAAAGAAAGGATTAAGGCTTGAGATTTTGGATGTTTTCGGCAGCTAGACGAAGAGCTTGCGATATCAGCGTTTTCTTACCAAAAAGATAATGACTATGGTTTCTGTTCGCTCTAAATCTAAACAGATGAGAAATAAGGCTAACTTACAGGTGATGAGGGTAGTTTGGATCCGTGGAGCCTTCGGTCCGTGATGTCCTCCTTCGAGGTGCAATGCTGGATCCGACCTAGAGAAAAAGAAACAGCAGGTGAAGCCTAAGACACCGGTGTGGTGTCGGCCGAAGACCATCTGATGCCAAAGTTAGTGACAAAGAGCTATTTTATTGACAATGTGAAAACACAAGTCAAGTAAACAGTTTTACGTCTTGGCTGGGCCAAGGGGCTCTATTTATAGAGAGCATTTGTGATGCTTTTAGTATTTAGTTTCAATGTGGGACTCGTGGGAGTGTCTTCGGGGGTCGACACATTGCTCTGACAGGTTCAGGCGGGGATTCTAAGGCGATCTGTCAGAATCGGATTGATGTGACTGTTGGTCGATCGGCATCCTGTACCGAAGGTCGGCGTAAGGGAGCCTGTAGGCCTCTAGTCGACTTGACGACTGCGTATGAATTGGTGGAGCATGCTGATTGAACATTCGGCATAGCCCACTGAGCTGGTCTCAGCTTTCTTTGTATTCCACGTGTCATGACGTGAGTGGGGGGTCATATATGGTACAAATAGTTTAAACTTAGCTTGAGAGGATGGGTGTTTCAGATTTGGGATGGAGCCTTTTGAGAGAGATATTTATATATATATATATATATATAAAGGATGGGTGACTTGAGTAGATTTCTAATAGGTTGATGAATGTTTGGTCATGCTTTTGCACGGTTGAAGGTGACTTAATGATGTTGAACCGAGATTACGCAAGTTTGGCATAAGAGCTTGGAGTGTGGGAGCTAAAGACCCCCAAGTTTAGCAAATGAGAATGCATGTGCTTGGCTTGGTATGGATAGGCTTGAGTTTAGGTGTTGAGAACTTGTTGTTTATGGCTATGGCTATGGTGATTTAAGAGTTTGAAGAGAACGATGATGGAAGGAAAAGCTTGAGGCTTGAAGGCTATGGTGTTTATAGCTTGGAAGGGTATGAGGAGGAAGGAAAATCTTGGAGTTATGCTTGGTGAGGTTTTATTGGGAAGATGGAGGATTTCAAGGACGAGAAAGTAGAAGAAATGGTTGTGATTGCTTAGGAATGGCTGGGATGGGTGCTAAATGCTTGCAGTAGCAGAAGAGAGGAAGGAAGGTGGTCTGATAGTTGCTGGGGTGCTTGAGCAACCAACAGATGAAGGTTGATGGCTGGCTGTTAGAATGCTTGCAGCAGAGTTCTCTTGGTTGTTGAGAGGCTTGTAGCAACCAAGAGGGGTTGGTTTTGTAACACCCCGACTCCAAATTTATTCCTATTTTAATTAAATTAAGAGAATTATTAATTTACTCTTGGGTTAAAGGTAATTTTGGTCATTTTCTTATCCGGAAGGATTTTGGGACCACAAGTGGTTTGGTTGCGTAGGTGGTACTGAGACGAAACCGTAGACAGGCGGTAGGCTTGAATCGGAGATTTAATGAAGTTTTGGCAATCAAAATAAGTTTGGTGGCGCTACCGTAATTATTTCAAAGTAAGTTTGGGGTAAAATCAGATTTTTCACATTTACCCCTCATTTTCTCTCTCTCTCCCGATTCTCCCCAACGCGCAGAACCCTCCCCCTCCGAGTTACTGTTCATCCAAACAGAAAAACCCACACCGCCACCACTTCCAGTCACCTCAGCCCTCGAGACCGGTCCCGTTTGACTCGTCGTGAAGTCCCGATTAAGACCCACCCAATTTCCTTGCCGGAAAGCCGGAGAATCGTCGACGGTATCGACTGGTTCGAACCGGAAGTTTCCGATCGTTGCGCCGCCGCCTCCGCCGTCTGTTTCAAGTAAAGTTGGTGAGTTTTCTTCTCCTTTTTACGTATTCTAGCTCACTGTTGTTTAAGTTTGGATCGATTTTGAGTTTTGGAACCGAATTGGAAACCTAGGTTTTGGCCGGTTTTCAATTTGAAATTCCGGCCAGTTCCCGTGCGAATTGGACCTCGTGGTAGTTGAATAAAGTGATCCTGACCTTGAGAAGAAGCTAGGGTAGGAAGGGTGAGCGTTGGTGTGGAGATTTTCCGTCGCCGAAAATTCCTCTACACACCCACGCGCTGCCGGCGCGTGTGGCTGCGCGTGGGCAAGGCTAATGAAGTTTCTTTTTATCCTGATGAGATCATTAGGTTGTCACGAGTGCTTAGGATTTCGTGGATCTCAAATTGGATGTCGTTTGACTATCGAACGGATTTCGCATATTGTGCGTTATTCGGGTTCGATAAGTTCTAACCGTTGGATCGTTTCCAAACTGAAGTAAGTTGATTTAGGTACTCTTAGAATCCTATAGGAATTCATGGATCGTGAATTGGAGCCCCGGGTGTTCCGATTCAATAATTCGAAGTTTGTGGGATTAACGATAACTGTAGAATGTGAAGCAATTCCCAAACTTGTAACCGGACCTTAGGATATCCTATTGGACGTACACGCACCGGGATCTTGGGGATTTAAGTATTCTCTTTCGTGAATTCCCGTTTCGAAGTGTATTATATTAATCAAGGGTTCGTATCTCGAAATAGGTACTTCGGTCGATTATTCGCAGCAGGCAGGACCCTCTCGGGGCCGGGTAGCATGAGATTACCTGTGAGTGGACTTTGTTTTCAAGCATTTGCATGGTTTTATTGATAAAAGATTTGTGCATATGTTTTTAAATGGAAATGTGATTTATTAAGTATTTGGTTGATGGATTTGGATATTCATATACGTATTGGCAATATATTTTGAGTATGGCTATGTTTGAGTATTATGGATATGTTTATATGGATTTTGGGATGTCTATCTATATTGCCTATGTATAGAGTACGAGGAGTTGTTGTTGTGAGATTGTGGAAAGATATGAGTTTGAGGGATGGTTGTGAGATGTATGAGTATGTTAGGTGAGTACCATTCCCTTGTTACTAGGTTTCCCACACATGTCGTTGGTAGTGCCGGTGGGGTGGGAAGGCCATGAGATTGCGGGTCTCACACATGTCGTTGGCAGTGCCGGTGTGTGAGACACTTCCCATACATGTCGTTGGCAGTGCCGGTGTATGGGAAGAGTATGTATATTGCTTAGTATTATCACACATGTCGTTGGCAGTGCCGGTGGGGTGATGATACTGTCTGCGCGTGTAGGACTTGATATGAGATTTGTGAGCTACACGTGTCGTTGGCAGTGCTGGCGTGTGAGCTATGGAGTTCCGTCCCCCGGTTGGACTACTCATCCCTGGACGCGGGTTCATGTTCGAAAATCCTGTGTACCAGCCAACAATCCCCCGGTTGGATTGTCTTCCCCGGTACATTAGTGTGGAGAGAAGTATACGTTATATTATAGATATATATACTTATATATGTATACATATGTATAGGTTGGTGAGAGTTGCATACTTTTGGGAATGGAGTTGTGGATTAAGATTTTTGAGAGTTATTGGACTTTGAGAGTTTATGTTTGAGTATTTGATTTATGGATGTGGAAACTGCATGCTTGAGCATTATTTTTACACAGTGGGGTTACTATGTTGTTTTAAATGCAAACTTTGTTTTTGTCCACTCACATATTTCTGTTTTGCGCCCCCCAGGCAGTAGTGGCTTTTGGAAGCGCTCAAGCAAGTTGCGAGCTCCAAACATTTCCATCTGTAGATAGGATTCGTGTAAATTCCTTCTACTCTACTGTTGTTGTAAACAAATCCTGTTAGATGCTCTGTTATCGCCCATGTTAGGTTGTTACTGGAGGCCGGAGGCCACTTTATTTTGAATTGTTGTATGTTGAAAGCATGCTGGCAGTTGGGAATTATATTATGTAAATTATGCAGGTTGAATGTTGTTGGGTTTGAGCATCTTACAGGGGAGACTCTGCCAAAATTTTGGTAGGATGTCTTGGGTTTTTTAGTAAGTGGGCCCGGCATCGGTATGATGTCGGCACCAAAACGGGGTCCGCCCCGGTTTCGGGGGAAATTCCGGGGCGGGTCCTGTCAGGTTTTGCCTGGGCAATGCCTCCCAATTTATAGAAGGTGAAGGCTCTTTTGGTTTCCAACAGGTAAAAGAAAGTGTTGAAGCTAGTTTATTTCCAACAGGTAAAAGGAAGCATTGGGACATTCTTATTTCCAACAAGTAAAGTTAGACATTGGAAAATGACAATTTCCTATAAGTAAAAGGAAGTGTCGGAATTGGCTTGTTTCCAGTGGATAATAGGGAGTGCTTGAAGAATATCTCATTTGCTCACTCACATTGGAGAACTCCAAGTAATGGGCTTAGACTTTGGTGCTCCCAAGTAGCTAGCCCCAAGTCTCCATTATCCAAGAGCTTCCGTGGACCTTGTGGACCTCCGTAACCTTCCACACCACAATCCCTCGTGCAAGCCCCGTAAACCATATGACTTGAGTTCATGTGAGCTTAGTAGGTGATTAACATATGAAAAATGTATTATTGGCTTGGCATGCCATGTATACTATTTCTGTATTTATTTAATGAATGAATTTCCAACATACAGCTTGGATTAACACATGACCAACATTATATGTTATATTGGGTTTTAAATGTCTTTGAGCTTCTTGTGACTTTTTGGGCCTCAACAATTAGAATATCATCTCCGTCCCTCCCCGAACACCATACCCGAAAAATTCCCCAAACCCATATCCATAGCCATTTTTTATCATTCATACTCGACCCATTAGTGTTAAAATCCCGCGAAGAACCTTACTTGTGGGAAAAATTGTCATCCTTAGCATATGCCTCTAAAATTATTGTTCCATTGCCCCTAATATTCTCATCTAGCCTAATCTTATCTTGATTTTCCATTAGATGTATTCATATTAACACTAAAAAACACTTCTCATTTTAATATTGTAATAGCATTTTCAAGGGAGATGTCAAATATCAAATATTAAATTTGAATTTGATTGCTTATATGACAATTTAACATCTCAGTTGGAGTTAATTTGAGCTATTTTTCTACATGCTAAAAATGTAACATTGGATTTAACATCTCCATTGGAGATGCTTTGAGTCGATAATGAAGTTTAATATTCGATTTGTATAGATGTTTTTCCTTTGTATTTAGCTTTGTCTTGATGTTTCATTAGATATGTCATACTAACTTCAGGAATCTAAATCTCCTCAATTCCAACTATGAAAATAAAATAAACTTCATTATGATATACTTAACCTAAGTTTAATATTCACTTTGTATTTAGTTCAAGCATTTATGCACATCATTAGAAAATGATAGGTCAACCGATTGACCCCTGTCCATGGCCCACAGCCCATAGCCCATAATTTGTAAGTAGGTATAAAAAGCTAGATATTTCAATTGTATGGGTCAGGGCACTCCAGCCCACCCAAACGGCTGACTCAAGATTCACCCTTGGTACTTAAATGCCCTTTGTTTTTTTCATTATTTAAATTCTCTCTTGAACAAAAATATCTTGAATTTAAGGCATTGGATTGGATAAATAAATTAGGCAGTTGAAGTTGATTGGTGGAAGAAGATATTTTATTTTTATTTTTATTTAAATAATGAATTAATTCGGAGGGTAAAATCGTCACAAGGGAAAAAGTCAAACGGAAAGTTATAGTTGGGACGACGAACCAAAACTGGCGCTTTTTTATAGTGGAATGCACACATAAAATCTTTCCACTCTCTCCACTTCGATCCCCCACTTCAATCTCCTTTACTGTTATATTTGATTGATTTCCAGAAGAACCCTAAAAGCATTCTTAAGGTTCGGGTTCTTATATTCAATTTTCCAAATATTCTGTGAAATAATTCTTCTTCTAGTATGATTTTCTCTCTCTTTTTCCCCTTAAGCTTCAGTTTCAAATTGTATATGATTTTCATTAAACTATTTTGTTTTCTTTTAGGGTTTTGCTGGTTGGATAAAACCCAGAATTGGGAAGAAAGCAGTGAGTCAAAGGTACCAGCTTTTTTTATGGGTTTTATATTTTCTTTAGGATTTTTATTTTTTATTTTTATGTGTACTGTGTTGTTGGGAATTTTCTTTGTAAGTAGTGAAAGTTAGCCTTATAAAGCTGTTCTTGAATTCTTTTTTTAGGGTTTCAGGAACCCTAGGATTTGATTTTAAGTATAGATGGTGAATTAACTCTGTTTATACGTTGGTAGGTACGGTATATGTACGTATAGTACACAAGTCGTGTGTTTTTGTGTGAAGTAAGTCGGAATCAATTGGTTTCTGGGGTTTGTGTTGCTATGCAATTTGACTCGGTGAGTTGATGAGCAGAGGTGTGACCGTGTGAGACTTTTGAGTTGACTCTTGTCTTTTTACTGGAAGGAAATTATGCAAGGTTATCATAAAGGTCTAACCTTTGTTTGGTTTTGTTTGTTTTTACTTCGGGGGTGTCGGTGTATTGCGTAGTCTTCTGGGTATGAACAGTTGCATGCGGTTTTCAGACTCTGGCCTTTACAGTGAAAGGCTAGTAGTCCGTGCCAAGTGCAATTCATGCTTGTCCAATTTATAGAGGTAAGTTGTTGAGCAGTGCACTGGTCTAATTGGTGAGTTGTGTATGTATCTGTTTCCAAATAACAGTTTCTGCATTTTCTTATCAAGATAGAATACTGAATTTGAAACATTTTGTCTTGGTTGTGCAATGTTTAGAATAATGGGAATTTCCTATGGAAATCGGTAATTACGATAAGATTGATTGCTAATTGTAACAAAATTGACTGGTATAAGATATAAGAGTACTGGAATATGATTATGCTAGACCTCCTTGTGGGGGAAATTTTGTTAAGGGTCTCTAATGTTTGATTTCAGGTGGAAGAGATTATATGTATTGATTCTATGGGTTTTACGTATTAGATATTCAGCATTTGTAGTCTTATTTTTAGTGACACAGCTGGTCCTAAACCCTTTGAAAGGAGGAGGGTTGTATTAATAGTTTGACATCCAGCACTTCCATTTTGTCAGCTCACAAGCTTGAATCTGGAACCCAAAATCCTAGAGTCAATTCAGCAGAGCAGTCTACTTTTTATTGGGGTTTCAGAAATTTGATTCTTTGAATTTTAAACTTTCTACAATTTCTTAACAGTAGTGTTCATATTGATTGTTTATTTTGTCCTCTGCACCGAAAGGGCGCGTAGCTGCGTAGAGAACTTCTTACTTGTCAACCTACACCAGTATGGATCAGCAAGGGCATGGGCATCCCACAACAATAGGAGTGGCTGGTAGTGCGGCTCAAGCATCATATGGTGTGAACCCATATCAGTCTGGCCAAATGATGGGGCTCTCTCCCACTGGATCAGTTGGATTGATGCAATCTCCTACTCAGCCGGCAGGTCCTCCAGCCTCTTCTCAGCTTGCACAACACCAACTAGCTTATCAGCACATCCACCAGCAACAACAGCAGCAACTACAGCAACAACTCCAAAGTTTTTGGGCCGAACAGTATCAAGAAATTGAGGCGGTTATGGATTTCAAGAACCATAGTTTGCCATTGGCCAGGATTAAAAAGATTATGAAGGCTGATGAGGATGTGAGGATGATCTCAGCCGAAGCTCCAGTCATATTTGCCAGGGCCTGTGAGATGTTCATTCTAGAGTTGACACTGCGGTCTTGGAATCACACAGAGGAGAACAAAAGAAGAACACTGCAAAAGAATGACATTGCTGCGGCAATTACGCGGACTGATATATTTGATTTTCTGGTTGATATCGTCCCGAGAGAGGATTTGAAAGATGAGGTACTTGCGTCAATACCAAGAGGTGGGAATCTTCCAGTTGGAAGTTCAACTGATGGTGTGCCTTACTATTACATGCCTGCTCAGCATGCTCCACAGGTTGGTGCTCCGGGGATGATAGTGGGAAAGCCTGTTATGGATCAAACTCTTTATGGCCAACAGACACATCCCTACATTGCTCAGCCAACATGGCCACAGCAACAGCAGCCGCACAAAGATTCTTGAGTGAAAGTGTTGATGGAGTAAAAAATCATTGTTTGTAATTGAAGGCTTACAATTTGAAGTGTTTATCTTGGATACAGTTGTCACACTTTGCTTGTCATTACAGTTACAAAGTACTTGTTATTGCTACATGAAAAGATTATGTGAAACGTATGGCTTATGGTACTGTAGAAAATTTAAATTTGTGTTTGTAATTGAAGGCTTGCAATTAGAAGCGCTTGTCTTGGATACAATACAAGTTAAACACTCTGCTTTATATCCATTTGTTACAATTACAAAGTGCTTGTTCTTGCTATTTGAAAAGATTTTGAAAAACTTGTGGGCTTCTGCCACTGTAGAACTTTGTTTTGTAACATCACTGCTTTTGCAGTACATGGATTCACCCTCCTTTTTGTATAAAATTTTCATCCCGATCTCCAAAATAAACAGGACGATCGAAAATGAGTGGAACTAACGTCTCTCTGGATGTAAGTAGATCCAAGTCTATCATTTGAAATTCAACGGCATCAACGAACTGGACAAAAATCCTCTAGACTGTAATAGAGAGTAAAATATTATACTTAACTCCAAATTCACACGAGAGATTGTTCTATTTTAGGGGTAACTACCTTCTTCCCATGTGCTCAATGATATCAGTAGTGAGGGTTGACCTTTTCTTATCCTCAAAAGCAAGCAATGCACCCCAACGTTGCGGGGTTTTGGGAACTGTAACAATACAAATTGGGTAAAATCAATTGTCAAACATGGGGCTGTAAAACCTGATACTCTCGAGTCGGCATTTCTGATAGCTTGACGAGCCCACGATAGAAATACAGCAACGCTGGAGTAACCAAAGACATGAGATTTTTATTTTAAATTCATCAGTACAAGAGAACATAACATCAGGTAAGCTCTCAAAATCTGAGTTTTGGAGGTAGAAGCATCACCTCAAGACTATGGCATTCACAACAAGGTAACCAGGAGTAGTAGTGAAATTTGTAATGCTTTAATGGATCTCTCTCTCTCTCTCTCTCTCTCTCTCTTATAAGCGTATTATGGTCTTGGGGTTATGCATTCTTCGAGAAAAATAAACTGGAAAAGTAAGGAGAAGATAGCAAATTCAGCACAACGTTTGCCATAATGTAAAAACAAAAACTCGAAAGAGAATAAAAAACTTGCCTTCCAGAAAGTATATCACCCTGCCCATCACATCTTCGAGAACTATAGATACTCACTATTTTTACTGCAAGAAAAATCTAGTGTGGTTGGCAATATTTCAAACACAGCAAATCAATCATGTTTTGCATACTTCTGAGCAGCCCAACATGATTTTGATATTTACTTCACAACTCAAAACTTTCTTTACAAAGCGCTTGTATTCATTTACATTTGGGGTGTCCATCCTCGAAATGATTATGCCATCAGCTGACAAATTTATATCTACAAGTTGTACAGAAAACTACACAAGAGAAAAAAGAATGATTAAATACACTCAAAAGGATGATGGAGACCCTTGTGATTGCATACCCCATCTATGGAGCATCAGTGTACTCACGACACCTGCCGATAACAGCTGTCTTTCCTGAGAAGCATGGAGAGGTAAATATAAGCTAGATTCTTCTACAAGATTGGTAAAACAAGACAACAAATTCAAGTTGAAACCAGAAAGCAAGCAAGTCAGTTCCCTAGAATCAACATCAAAATGCTGCAGTATTCCTTAGTTTTCGGTCATTGTCTATATTACACAGTATGAAGCACAACAATCATCATTGACAAATAAGTACACAAAGTTAAAGAAATGACATTGGTAGCTTAGTGTGCGCTTTCCAGCCTGAACCTTGTGTCGATTGGGATCAAATCAAGGGTTGGAGTGATTGCTCTCAGATCGTTCACAGCATCAGCCTCCAAAGAGTGAAAATATGAGCCGACACAAAACGGGTGCAAATTACAGTTGGTCTAATTTTATTTTTTATTGAAAAAAACAGTGCCTCTCTTGCCAGATAACCATTTTGTTGAACAGAATCCAAATTCTAGTAGCTAAGCATAGGCTAGGCTAAGACAGGCAGACAAAAATATAAAGCAAATAACATCGAAGGATTACTAAAACGAACTATCACATCATCAAGCCATATTCCTCCAAAATGGATGATCTTGATCTTGATCTCAATCAATCTCAGTTTACGTTCAGTCGACCACAGAAAGAGTTTGATACTCTTTGTTGGCAATGACTGCTTCCATGATCTGATGCCGGCTAATTTCCCCACCATTATCCAAGAACGACTTGATCAATGTGTTCGAGTTTCCCCTCAAGAGGGTCACTCCTGGATGAGGTTCTTCTACACGATGCATAAACCCCGCTATGTCCCAAATATTCCAAAACAAAATGTGTGGCATCGTATCATCCCCGTAACCTTGCTCCTTAAACTTGCAGCGTTTTTCCTCATACAGAGTCTTCCAGGATGTGCTGCAGCCACCAAATCTTACGGAGTTGGTGAACACAAACACCTTCTTGATCATCTGCTCCGCCTTCAAGTTATTATTCACAGCCACTTCCAGAATCAAATCACACACCTGATCAAAATCAACACCCTGGCTGTAGCTGTTGCTGCATGTCCTAATCACAAAGTCGTACCTGGACATGAGATCACTGCCTTGTATCGAATGCAGCAGAGGCAGCCTATCAGACAATGGACCCAGAGTGATCACCTTTCCTTTCCATGCCGGCTCTTCACTCAATTCAGACACCAAAATTCCCAAACTTGCGGCCAATTCCGAGATTGATGTTGCGCTCATGGCGTAGGTGATGTTACACACTGCCAAGCAGTTCTTAAATTTGTTCTCCTCCCCCTGGTATATGTTCTCCATCATTGCCCTCCACTGAATCTCAGCTGCTTCCCCAACATCCTTATCTTTTACATATCTTATGATATAATTTGGAAGCAATGCATCCAACTTTATGATGCTGCCGCCTGCTTTCACCTCCTCCAAATACTTCGTGATCACACAGGGCATTTGATTGAGATAAAGACGCATGCGTTGACGACTATACTCCGTCAAGGGCTCCAAAAACTCCTTCCTAAGCCGTTCCCATTCTTCTGATTGATCTGATTCTGGCGGGAAAAGCCTCCTCTCAAGGTTTTCAAACAACAAAACGACGCGGGTAGCCTGGACTTGTTCAGGGCTCCTGGAAGTACAACATTCAGCAGCCTGGCTAACGAGAAGCAGAGTAGTACCATCTTCTTTATCATTATCTTCATATTCCAATTCCATCCCCAGCCTGTGCTGCTTCAATTTTTCAATATCAGACTTCAACTGCTCCGCCAAGACCTCCATAACCCGGTCATGCAACAACTTGTAGTGCGCGTCACGGTGGAGCCTCTGCGCCGCAGAGTCTTGGCCTTGTTCTAGAAGAAGGCCGTAGAGAATCTCGACAAGGTCCCACAAACGAGCTATCGAGAGGTAGAAGGAGCCGGAGCCGGCAAAAGAGGGGATGTTGCATAATAGCGTCTTGGGGTGGTTGTGGTGGAGCCAGATTGCGGCCGCGTAGAAGGCTGCCGGAAAATATTTTTCGCCAGGACTATCGAGAGAGTTGAGATTGAAGATGAGCTTGAGGGTGGTTAGGGAATTGTGGGACCAGGCCACCGGCAGCAGTAGTTGCTTCAGATAGTTTAGGGTGGCCTTGTTCTGCTGCTCCCGCTCTTCATCACTGGGCTCTGGTGGTCGGAGACACAGTCCTACGACGTTTTCTGGTGATTTCACGTGGAAACACAGATCATGGCAGGGATCACCGTAGGAAATAGGGGAGATGGAAGAGGTGTTCTTGGCCATGTCATTGTCACCCTTGGAGTTGGAAGCCATGAATCTTCTTGCGATCAGTGGAAGCGGAGGAGGAGTAAGAGGAGAAAAGACTTTCAGAACCCTGATGAAAGTGAAACATACTTGCACATTTGAATTTCTCCTGCCATGCAGTGGGAGTGACATGTACGAAAGAAAATCCTCAATATTTTTCTGATTTTTATAAATTTTGTAAGATAAAAAAACAATAAAAAAACATAAATAACACATGTCCGTATCTTATAAGACCACACGTCATAAACCCTGACGGCATGCCTTTCATCTGCTGTCACATTTCATTTTCTTCAATTTATTATTATTTTTCTACAATTTAACTTCTAAAATTCATAATAATAAGGTGGTCTGGATTGAAATCTCTTTCTTCTATACGCATTTAAATACAGTTTCATTTAGAATTCAGACAAATCCAAAACACTTAGAGCATCTCTCTTGTCACTTTAAGGCCCCATTTGGTTCATGGAATGGATTTGACGGGAAATTAATTCTCATGTCATTTCCTAAGAAATGAAAATGAAATATTCATTTCCTACATTTGGTAATGTCGGGAAAGTAACCGAGAGATTTCACTTTGTTTCCTTTCCCATGTTTGTTTTGAGTAAGAATGGAAAACAAATTTTGTATAATTTTTCAATTATACCCACATTAAATCAAATAAAAAAAGACTGCATTTAATGATACATTGTAATTTTAAATTGTTCATGGGGACAAAATAGTCATGAAAATTTTGCATTAAATGTTGACTCATTTTCCCAAATTTTCTCATGAGGAAGGAAAACAAAACCCAAGTTGAGAGGAGGGTTTCACTTTCCCCCCTACTTTCCCATGTGTCAGGCAATCATTTTCCATGTCTGGACTTTCTAAACATGGGAAAGCAATTGAATTCTCATTCCCAACCCTCCTTTCTCATGAACCAAACGGGGCCTTATTATTTTCTGCAACTAATAATTGCCACTTGAAGCTTAATATCCAGAGGCACTAATGGTGATTAGTGATGGGATCAACAAAAAATAAAAATAAAAAATTAAGATCACATCAGGTGCTCTGTTTTTAATTTGAATTTGGACTAATGTGTTGGCTACTTGACTTATTAAATTAGACAAGAGTCCAACATATTGCGTCTTATGCTGACTCATAATAACTAATTATTAATACCAATCCAATCCAATCCAAAATGTGTGAGACCTGATAGTTTGAGGCTTTTTGAATTCTTAATTTTGTTGGAGGTAGAATGTTATGTAATCCTCTACAACAATTGCTTCCATTGAGAGAGATGCGTGTATTTATCTCATATTCATATAGGGTGCATGTTTTTTTCTTTCTTTTTGATTTTTTGGGTCAAACATAAGTTGTGCATGTTAAGTAACTTTGAAAGGGTAAAACTCAATGATACACCTTCATCATTGCATTTAAATGATCTACATCTATAAAAATCAATTTATGCTATGATTAAGAAACAACAAAAATCTTCTTATTTGATTTGTATTGGGTAGTTTCTATTGCAGAGATTACAGTCTTATACATGGCATTGGTGATAAAAGACATGTTTGAAGACCATGTACTCACCCAAAAAATCAGGGTCATTGAAAGCTTGAACAAGCTACCACATTTGTCAGTAACAATTTATTCTCATTGGAGGAAGAAATCAAGTTAAACGAGTGAGTGATTTATATATATATATTTTTTAATTGTGTTAATAGAAATAAAAATAAATAATAAAAAAATATATTTGTTGTTAACAGGGATGCTAAAATAGAAGGGTATGGACATGTGATATAGCTCAAGTGAAGAGGCCATCACAGCAGCAACACCACCACTGACAGGGAAGAGCCCATGGCAGTAGCAGCAGTGATATGTTTTTATGTTTTATGTTTTATTTTTATAAGTTTATTATAAATTAAGGTGGATGCGACATAAAAAATACGTTTATCCTTTAATTTTAATGTACTCTAGATGTGTATTTCTATTCTAGTTCTAATATGTTAACTTAAATTTAAGAGAGATGTGTTTTTGGTTAGAGTTTATTAATCTAAAGTGAACAACATGTCGTTTTATTGAAATATGTAAGTGTCATTCAAACAACTTTTAAACAACTATACTATAACGATGGTTAAGATTAAAAATATAATTACTTAGGTTGGATTATATTTGTATCTTTTAAAAATCAATGAGAGGATGACATTGATAACTTATTATTGACATACAAGTGTCGTTTATACTAATATTTTAAATAAATTCATATGCATTCATTAGTTATGTCATGTGTTTTGGCTCAATTGACCACATAGTATAAGTGTGGGTTCCACCCCTATCATACACATTAATTGGTCAATGGTCATCATCTAGAATTTGCCAAAAAGATGATAGTAGCCAAGCCAGGTAGCATAATGGGAAAGGGAATTGTATAAGAACCAAACCCATGGACTGCACAGAGGCTGAAGCGACACTCCACACCAAGATGTCAAAGCTCACTAAGGCTTGGTGATTAGTCGTGTATGCATTTGGGCATCAAAACAATTTAGATTGCATAATCACAAAGAAATCTGATCACAATTTTGATGAATACTCGTGTTACATAAACTCATCACAAACAATGAATGAATGAATTGAATAAACTAAACAATAAGATCACGCGCTCTCCAAAAAATCACAAGGCCCGGCATTTTCTCGAACTCAAAAACTTGTTCTTGTTCAAAACCCGACCTCGTTGCGGCTTTAGCGGCATAGGCAAATTCTTGATGTCCAGAATTTGAATTTTCTTTCTCTTGTTTTAGAACTCTTGATAGCTTTGGTGAAGCTTCGCTTAGTGTTCTTCAACTTCTCTTCATCATCCTAGTCTTGCCGTTGATGATGAGGATCAGATTTTGTGGTCTCCTTAGGGTTTTGTAGACAAGAAGAATAAGGTGGTGCACTTAGCATCAAGCGGACGGTCTCCAAATTCTCCCCTTTGCCGTGGGATGGTGGTTTCTTGGGCTTCCCATGAATTGCCATGTCGTGGTCATCAAGTTTGACGTCGTCGAACAACTTGGAAGGATCGAAAGTCACGGTTTCAAGGATGAAGACAGCTTCAAGGTCGTCCAGCGGAGGGCAAGCGAGGCCACCAAAGTCGTCAACAGGAGGGTCTTGCTCGCATCGCTGTTCCTTCAAAGCCTGATCGCAAACGCACTTCATCTTGCCTGAAAGAGAAAAGATTATAGCAAAATTTGGAAACCCTAAATCACAGTAGCTAGTGTTTACAAAAGCCCCACGCTGCATATGTATTTATGGTTTCCTGTTTCCTAATCTCATTGGGAGAACGAATATTTTACTATAATTAATTATAATGTACTTTCAAATTTTTATTAGACATAATAAATTAAACCAACCAAAGTGCCACCGTCAAAATCACCCAAACGCAAACCGCCCACTCGTGTGTTTGTGTTGTGTGCTTCAGTTTGCTTTACAACTACGCAAGCGAAGTTGGAGTTCTTTTGCCGACTCTTCACTCAATTCAGACACCAAAATTCCCAAACTTGCCGCCAATTCTGTGCTTGGTTCGCCCATGTAATTGATGTTACACACTAAGCAGTTTTTAAATTTGTTCTTCTCCCCCTGCTTTTGCTTTAGGTACATGTTCTCCATCATTGCCTTCTACTGAATCTCAGCTGCTTCCCCAACATCCTCATCTTTTACATATCTTATGATATGATTTGGAAGCAATGCATCCGGCTTTATGATGCTGCCGCCTTGCTTTCACCTCCTCCAAATACTTCTTGACCACACAGGGCTCTTGAATGGAATCCATGCGTCAACTATACTCAGTCAAGGGCTCCAAAAACAAGGGTAGAACCGTGAATTTTTTAACGGGTGGACTAGCTAAAGTTATTAGCTTAAAATTTAATGATTATTTTTTTTGGTACTTACAATTTCTATAGTCTTTCTAGAAATAAAAATAAACATTAAATCATATAAACCAAGCTAGTTCATAGCTCCATAGACTAATTTTCAATAAGTTTTAACATAAACCAAATAGGGTTTAACACTATAGTGGATTGAACATCTAAGACTTTTTATTTAGATTGACCTTAGGTTCCTTCATGCATTCATATTATACATGAAAAGTTATTTTATGTAAAAATATTGACTAAGTATGTAAAATGGGTTTTCTGTTATAAAACTAGAGGGAGAAAATGTAGAGAGAAGTAATATGCTAAAGATAAAGTTTCACCATGTTTATTCTTCTTTTAATCTTTGGTAGAATCACCTATTTATAAGCTTACAAGATAGGATATTGAATACCATCATTTACAATACACCTATAGGTTACAAGCACTAATTACAAATACTTAGTGCATAGGTTACATAAAATCCAATGGTGGAATACTAAGAGGTATGGTGGTCATCCACCAACTCATGCATTTACAACATTTTCATAATAATCATTTTCTCAAGATAATTTTTTGCGGCTTTTATTCCTCACACATCAAATAAAAAAACTTGATTTTATGGGATTTTAGTATGAAGTATATATTAACTTAATGAGCCATCATTATTAGCCTAAATCGTCTTTTGCACTAAAACCGATTTTCATATTTTGATTTGGTGGGAATTTGATTTTCTAGTATTTTTATTTGAATCCAAATGAAATGTACTTCCTTATTTACATTGTAAACTTAACCATTTACTTAAATGTTGAAAATAGAAATAAGGTAATCTATACAGCGACATTGACTGGGCAAATATTGAAAATAAATTAAATATATAGGTTTTATATTTTTTTCTTAAAAAACCACACTGGGCTACAGCCCACTTAGCCCTTAGTGTGTCCAAAAACTCCTTCCTAAGTCGTTCCCATTCTTCTGATTGATCCGATTCTAGCGGGAAAAGCCTTCTTCCAAGGCTTTCAAACAGCAAAATGGCGTGGGCGGCGTGGTCTTCTTCAGGGCTCCAGGGAGTGCAACATTCTGCAGCCTGGCTAATGAAAAACAGAGTATTACCATCTTCTTTATCATCATTTTCGGATTCCAATTCCATCCTTAGCCTGTGCTGCTTTAATTTGTCAATATCAGACTTCAACTGCTCCACTAAGAGGTCCAAAACCCGGTCGTGCAACAACTTATAGTGCGGGTCACGGTGGAGCCTCTATGCCGCAGAGTCTTGGGGTGGTTGTGTGGAGAATCTCGACAAGGTCCCACAAACAAGCTATCAAGCGGTCGATGGAGCCGGCAAAGGAGGTGATGTTGCATAATAGCGTCTTGGGTTGGTTGTGGTGGAGCCAGAATGCAGCCGCGTAGAAGGCTTCCGGAAAATGTTTTATATCCATTTGTTACAGCTACAAAGTGCTGTTTCTTGCTATTTGAAAAAGATTCTTAAAAACTTGTGCGCTTCTGCTACTGTAAATAAATTTTGTGTTTTTCCTTCTCCAGGCAAGTCCAGAAGTCTTCCTTCGATGGTATCCTTTCAGCTCTGTACGCAACAAGGATATTTATCGGGGCAGATTTATGCTACTTTTTTGCGTCATACGGCTGTTCATAATAAGAAGTGAAATAAAATATAACAGAGGTTTCTGGCTTAGAAACATCACTGCCTTTGCAGCATATCTTAAAGACTCATGAAACATTCATCCTTATTATATGTCATAACCCTCCTTTTTGTATAGCATTTTCATCCAGATTTACCCAAAAAAGAACAGGCAATAACAGCACTCTCTTTATATACAAGACAAAAAGTCTGGAAAGGTGTGATTTAATTTAAAGGAAGAAAATGTGGTTCTTCTGGCAACCGAACTAATGTCTCTCTGAATGTGTAGATCCAACTCTATCATCTGAAATTCAACGGCATCAACGAACTGGGCAAATATCCTCCAAACTGCAATAGAGAAAGTTAAGTCTTACACATAACTCTAAATCCGCACATGAAAATCGTTTTATTTTAGGGGGAACTACCTTCTTCCCAAGTACTCGATGATATCAGTAGTGAGGGTTGACCTTTTCTTATTCTCAAAAGCAAGGGATGCAGCCTTTCTCATTAAAGCCGACCCAGCAATGCACCCCAACGTTGCGGGGTTTTTGGAACTGTAACAATACAACTGGGTAAAATCAATTGTCAAAAATGAGGGCTGTAAGGAATCAAAGATATGAACAGATACTAGGACTGTAAAACCTGAAACTCGAGTCCCCATCTCTGATAGCGTGACGGGCCCAAGATAGAAATACAGCGACACTGGAGTAACCAAACACATCAGATTTCTATGTTAAAGTTAGTTATCCATCAGTACAACAGAACATAACATTTGGCAATCTCTCAAAATCTGAGTTTTAGAGGCAGAAGCATCAGCTAGTGTCCATCACCTCGTGACTATGGAATTCACAACAAGGTCACCAGGACTAGTAGCGAAATTTGTTATACTCTAATTTATCTCTCTCTCATTCTCATAAGCATATTATGGTATTGGGGTTATGCATTCTTTTGGGAAAAATAAACTGGAAACGTTAGGAGAAGATAGCAAATTCAGCACATATAAACTCATCAATGTAATGTTTTTTTTTTTTTTTTTTTTTTTTTTTTTTTTTTTTTTTTAAAAAAAAATCTCAAAAGTCAGAATGAAAAACTTGCCTTCCAGAAAGTATATCACCCTGCCCACCACATCTTCGAGGAGAACCATAGATGCTCACTGATTTGACTGCAAAAAAAATCTGATGTCAGAGTTCAATAATTCGAGGTTTCCATATCTGGGAATGCAATAGGGATGTTTCCAAAACCTAAAGGAAAGGAATTAAAAAGTCTTGGATTTAGCAGGCAGTATATAAAAAAACCACAAATCATGTGAGCTATAGAACTTTTAGAAGAAAAAAAAACAATAAACAAATGGAACCCTTCTCATGGCCCAGTTTCAAGTCAAAAATCATCTTCATGGACACAAAACATAAGGCGTACGCCAAGTTCTCAACTTCATGTGACTTTAATCAAGGTGTTAATGGTTCAACTGTTGGTCTAGTGTGTTACACGAAATGCACTAGCCAACTGGCTAAGTGGCAACCATAACAGCAGTTTCCAATATGCTTATCTACATTTCCCAACTGAGATGCCAAAAAAGATAAATTCATGGAATATTAACATTATTTAAGCAAAAGCTTCACTATTTACCATCTCAACACACAACATACTGGCATATATGGTTATATACCTGTCTCACCATCACTTATGAAGTCAGATTTTCCTTTCCTAAGTATAGTTACACCACCAATCCTGACAGTGAAAGGGTCCACACTTTCAATAAGTTCCATAAAACTCGATAATCATTAGATGGAAACAAATACAAAGACAAAAGCAAAAAAATAATAGCATACAAAATACATTATAAAGAAAAAAGCCTTAGTGTGAAGTGGAAATGAGGGAATTATTCAGAAGCTGATTTAACACACTATTCTGCACAACTTCATCTACTTCCCATTTTTATTTATAAATAATCAGATGGTTTAAGACCCCGAAGGAATGCCAGATCAACCTTTCCTGCCTGTACAGATGCTAAACACACAGACATACGGTGAATGCAAGCCAACATGATTTTTATACATACTGATTATGACAAGTATGTATTTGTAAAACATCCTTACTAACTTCTGAACCATATAAGTTCTTAATATTTTATCCTGAGATGTAAGTATAAGATTAAGCACCCGCCAACACAATACAAAAAAGTCTGTTTACCTTTTTGCAAGAGATAGTAGTTGCTCATGAGCTTCTTCATCATTTACTTCACAACTCAAAACTTTCTGTACAAGGCGCTTGTATTCATTTACATTTGGGGTCAGCACAGCCAAGGGATATCCACTTATAAGATCAAGAGAGTTTGTAACAAGAAAGAGTCCATCCTGGAAAAGATTATGCCATCAGCAGACAAATTCATAGCTACAATTTGTACTGAAAACTACAGATAAGAAAAAAGAACGATTAAATACACCATAAGGATGATAGAGACACTTGTGATTGCATACCCCATCAATGACAATTGGGACATTGGACTGCCTTGCAAGCTTTATGATTTTGCTCACACAGTCCTGCATTATGATATTCGATCTTAGAAACATTTTGGATGGGATTTGGTAGAAATTATAACCACAATACCAGTTGTGCATCATACAGAAAATTAAAGTGTTGAAGATGTTTAGTACATGTCATAATTTTTTGAGAAGAAACGAGATTTATTAAGCAGAAGAACCTGGAGGTGGATAAGGCAACCACAACCGAAAAACAACAACAACCAAACAAGAAAAAAACAACACCAAACCCTCCCAGACAAACAAAACCAACAAAACTAGCCTAAGACAGCTCCTCAAGAAACTGCACAAACAAAAAGCTAACCAGAAGAAATGGGTCCCTTCCCAGGCCTGGACCAACGACTAGACAATCAAATCTTTCCATCCATTTAGCAACTTCAGCAAGAATCTTTCCCGAGATGACACGTTTTTCATCATCCCTAAAAAACCAAAAAACAAAAAAATCAATTCAAGAAATTAGCAGCTCTTTCAATAATAAAGCTCATATACTGGTTCGACATATGAAATTGTTATGAAAAATAAATCACCTAACACCGTATGATTCTTCCAAAACTGGGTGTACAATCAACTCAGGACTGTAGCTTTTTATGACTGAAGCTGCATCTTTCGTACAAAAAACATGGGATAGATCTGCACCCTGAAAGGGGAAGAATATATTTTTGTTCCACCATATTAGCAAGCCAAGCATAACGAAAAACAGAAATCACTTGTTTATCCCATTTCAGTCTAGAATAAGCTACATTCTTGATTGAATCCAGCCAACTTTTTTATTTTCAGTTTTAAATTAAAAAGCAGGACACTAACAATTTTTAATGCTGAGATAGCTGCAAAATATGGAGCACCAGTGTACTCACGACACCCGCCGATAACAGCTATCTTTCCTGAGAAGCATTGAGGGGTAAATATAAGCTAGATTTGACCAGAAGATGATTGGTAAAACAAATAACAAAACCAATTCAAGTAAAAACCAGAAAGCAAGCAAGTCAGTTCCCTAGAATCAACATCAAAATGCTGCAGCATTCCTTAGTTTTCAGTCATTGCCTAGATTATACAGTATCAAGCACAACAATCATCATTGACAAATAAGTATACAAAGTTAAAGAGATGACACTGGTAGCATAGTGTGCACTTACCAGCCTGACCCTTGTGTCTATTGGGATCAAGGGTCGGAGTGATTGCTCTCAGAACGTTCTCAGCATCAGCCTCCAAAGAGGCTCCACTGGTGAATTTTATTCCTTGCATTCTTTTCTGATGGGTGTTAGTGTTCTGATCGCTGTAATCCCCAAGAGACCTGATCAAAAACTGTTGCCTTCTCAACACAGGAGACGAAGCCAACGTATAAATTGCACCAAACCCAGAATTTATTCCATGCTTTATTAACATCAATGACCAAGCACCACACTTCGCTACAACTAAAAACCCAAAAAAAGAAAGAAAACTATCATAAGATGAACTTAACCAAAAATTTATCAAATTGGTGAACTATGAAGAAGAAACTGCAGATACATACCGATACAAGAACTGCGGACACAACGAAATGCGAAGCCTTTAATGAATCAAGCTAACTTTTTTTTCCTTTTTTTTTTTAATAAAAAATTTCTGCTGAGTTAACACACTCAAAAACGGTGAAATCGTTCGGCAAAATTGTTGGTATTTTCGGCTGTGGAAGAAGATAGGGAGCGTACACGTTGGCAAACTTAAGTGGGCCCTACTATGACAGTCAAAAGGTTTCCTGAAACCAGTGACGCACTCAGAATTTTAAAATAATCCTTTGCTTTCTCCGTTAACAACAACAAATAGAAGCACGAATTCATCCCAACAAAAAATCAAAGGAAAATTGAGGGAAAAGCCAGGAAAATCAACAACAATTAGAAATGTAAAATGAAATATTAAACTTACCCGAGTGCTGTAGCTTCTAGAGAATGGCTCAATTGATCCAAAAAGAAAAATAAAGTAACAGTGGAAGAGAATAAGGGAGAATAGGCCTCATCATTTGGCCCGCGGGCTCATGGGCTAATGGAGGCTCGCCCGGCCCGACCCATTATGGGTTTTGAGATGGTCCGACCCGCCTTGGGCCGGGCTAAACTTAGGTTTGGGTGTCTGAAGCCCGGCCCGATTAAGTCCAAGAAAGCCCGGCCTGGCCCATTAGGCCCGCATACATATATAATTATGTATAAATAAGAGTTTATGATTAGAATTATATCACTTAAATCACATATATAATTTGTTTCATTTCATTTACTTTTCTTTACTCATTCCTAGTTTATAATTGGATGATTAACACATTAATTTGTGTCAATTATTAATACAACAATTATATATATAAAAATAAGATGAACAACATATCATATCACAAATATAATCATATCACGAAACATAATCGTACCACCAAACATAATAATGCTTTTCTTGAACACATCACCAAACATTTGCATATTTATTCATACCATCCTTTAAAAAAATATTTTTTTTTTATACTTATTATTTTTTAAAATTATTTCTTAAAACATATTATGGTCTAATTATGTAATAACCTCAAAAATAATACTTGGTTTTATTATTTTTGTGGAAAATCTTATTAAGTTGTGTGACTTTATTGGTGTTTTATGAATTTGGTTTGATGTAAAAATATTGGAATTAAGTGAGTTTAATCTCAAATTTTTACTAAAATGCCCTTATGATTAAGTTTATGATTTTTTTCGAATGAAGTAGGCCTGTTTCGGCCCGGCCCGTTGGGCTTAGCCGGGCCTGGCCCGATGGGCTTTCTCAAGCCTGGCTCATGGGTCGGGTTTGGGCTTTGAATTTTCTAAAAAAACCCGACTCTGCTCGGCTCGATATTTTCTCTCTCCTCTTTAAAGCCCATCCTGGCCCCGCCCAAGCCCATTAAATTTGGGTCGGGCTAACGAGCCCTAAGGTAGAAGACGTGAAAACATATGGATAACAAACGTAAATTGTAAAGTTAACGAAGGTTATTTTGGGTAGTTTGAAAAATTCATTAAAGATCCATCACCTCCTGAAACTGATTTCCACTTTCTCTACTCAACACCCATTTCTCCAAATTGCTTTGGGTGACAGCAATTATTCCATAAAAGTGATTTTCAAACTTAAAATTTTGGGAAGTCCAGCCCGTTTAGTAAATTATGAGAAAATCACTTATTGTTAAAAATTGATGTGAGAGTTTCTAATAAATAAATAAAAAATGATGTGAGATAAAGCTATAAAGGAAAGCAGCTAATAATGTGTTTTCATTTTTTGATTATGCGGGAATCAGTTTTGAAGAGGCCCTGAGTTTTATAAACTTTTGAAAATACCCAAATCTATTTCACACAATCTCTTCTCTTCGTATGTTTTCTCCTTCGCATCCCTTTGCTTTTTCACACCATCTCTTTCACAGTGTTCTCCTTCTATTGAATCTCTTATGTTCTTCCTATTGTTTTTTCTTGTTGAATCAATTGAAGCACACTCCTGAGAAATCACAAGACTCAGGTAAGAGGCATATTATGTTTATTTCTTCTCAATTTCATTATTCCCTCTTTCTCTTTAATTTCTAGGGTTTTAACTTCAATAATTATTGATGTTGGTTTTTATTTGTTTATTTTTTCTATTCCTGTTTTCGTTTCTTTGATTCTTTGTTTCTTTGACAGAATATTTATTTTTAATGGAATATATTAGATTTAACTTGAAACCTTAGTTTAGAGCATTTGGATACAAATATTTAATTTTCAACATAATACTTTAATTTTTTTTTATAATTAAAATAATTTTTAGGGTGTCATGAAAACATATTTATACAAAGAAAATATATATATATAAATAAGTGAAAGTGAAAGTGCTTTAGTCTGGAATCATTGGTGCTAGAGGAGTAATCCGCGATGATAGAGGGAATTGCATTGGTGGTTTTGTGGCCAATCTAGGGAGTGGTGACATCCTAGTAGTTGAAATATGGGGGATATTCTTTGGTTTGAAACTTTCTATCTGAAGGGGCATCTCGAATTTGCGTATTGAAATGGACTTTGCGACTATAGTCCTACTTCTCTAAAATACGGTGACTGACTGCTTAGCGAAGGGGAGCTATAATTTTGATTTGGGGTTTGTTGTGCTTGATGAGATTCCTAGCTGGGTTGAGGCTACGTTTGATGATGATTTGTTAAGAGTTCCTAGAACTCGTATTGTCTCTGTCATTTAGTTTTCGTGTGTTTAGGGGTTAATCCCCCCCTATTTTTTTAAAAAAAAGTGATTTCCGTTTTATTAAACATTTTAACAGAAAAGCCATTTCAATATAATGCCCTTTTTAGTCATTATATACAATTCACAACACTTTCACAAAAAATTTAGCAAACACTTAGAAACTGATTATTGTACCAATAACACTTTTAACAAAAAGTTTACCAAAAGCCAAACTGCTTTCTCTCACAGCTGATTTCTCTCACAACAAATTTGACAACGATTATTTTCACAGCACACCAATGCCAAACTGGAATGCTAGATAACTCAAACCCAAAATTTCCCCCCTCTAAAAGAGAACAATTAATGTATATCCTAGACTCAAACAATTTTTGAAAAATCTTTTTTATGTTAATTTACAATATTAAACAAAATTTATTATAATATTAAAGCTGAGGAATGGGGCGTGGTTTTAATTTAAACAAAAATTTGATCGGGAAGTGTGATTTTTAATGTTAATTGTTTTTGTATGTGAAGATTTTTTATTTTCTATAGCCCAGATTAGCCATAGGGATGGTCCATCCCTAACTGAAACAACATCGCCTGGGTTTTCTTTGCTTCCCTACTTCATACCTCAAGCAGCTTGTTCCTTTGGGACCTTCGGGTTAGTTAGGGTTGAAAAAAGAACGAAGAGAATGAGGGAGAGGACGAAAGTGAATGCGAAGAGATCGGGAGTTGTGTTGCTTGGAGGCATTTGGGTATCTAACGCTCTAGATTGGGTTCTGTTTTTTTTTTAAAACACAATTAAAAAAAAACTATATATCACTAACTCGTTTAACTCCAACCCATTGTTTTGGGCAGATGAAGTTGAAAGAGTGTGATGCGGATGCTACCAACAAAGCCACACAAGAACCACGACACAAAAATAAAGAACAACGAGAGGCCTTTGCGGCTCCAGCCAAAACAATAATATAATGGTCTGTCAAAAGTCCCCATCCTTAAGTTTACAGGCTGCTTAAATGGCTATGTAACCCTAGGATTATTTAAAATGAAAAAAACTAATAAAGTCATAAATAAAATAAGGGAATGGAATGGATGTTTGTCTAAAGTTTCGATGTGGAACTTTGGGTAAATCACTGTGATAGTGATTCGTGTCCCAAGATCTAGGTTCTGCAGTCTTGGCCTTCAACAACCACTTTCAACAAGTTGTTGCCTTATCATAAGAAGATGCATCTTCGATACTTTTGGTTATGGCGACGTCATCAATACTCCAAGTTAGAGGTTTTCTTTGGAATGTATCCTATTCTGCAGTTTGTGGGTCTGTCTCTATACCAGTCCCTCAATACTAAATGTGCTCGATTGATTATGGTACAAACACCAAATTAACAAATTTAACCAAATAATTTTAATAAAGATGTTAATGGTTCAACTGTTGGTCTAGTGTGTTACATGAAATGCACTAGCTGAATGACTGAGTGGCAACCATCATACCAGCAGTTTCTAATATGCTTATATACATTCCCAACTCAGACGTGCAAAAATATATATTAATATTATTGAAGCAAAAGCTTCACAAATTGCCTCAACTCACAACATACATGTATATATGATTACATACAAATTAAATTTTTTTAAAATTTTAAATTTTTGACCAACACACTGAAGTGAAATTAGTGACATGGTTCGGAAAAATTGTTGGTTTTTCAGATATGGAAGTAGAATTGGCAATAGATCGTGTTGTATTGGGTTCGTATCGTGTCAATAATGCTCAACTCAAATTAGAATCATTTAATGAACTTGTCATGTCGGATTCGAATCGTGTTAAACATGTTACCTATTTAATAACCTATTTAACACATTATTAAACATGTCACATGTTTGAGAGGAGGTTGAATTCAAATAAAGATGAGAATTAGAATGAGGAGATCAACTTAAGGTAAGGATTTTCATTTGGGTGGGTTGAAATCTACTACCATAGGGTACACAATGGAATAGAATAGAACATATTTATTAAACATGTCATGGCAGGTTGATTCGAATTTGATATGCAATTTTACTCTTGCGGATTGACCTGCTAATTTTTTGTGGTGGTTCTGAGCCATTCATCTGGTCATGTCGGAAATTGCCACCCTTATGTGGAAGAAGATTAAGCGTACACACTCGCAAACTTAAGTGGGTCCTACAATGGCTCTCAAAAATAGAGAACGAAACGACAGCGTTTGGTTTTATTTGCTGTATTGCTTTGTATCTCCAGCAGCTTTTTAGTTTGGGACCTGTGGGAAGTTGAGTTGGGGCTGAAAGAAGAAGGAAGAGAATGAGGGAGAGGACGAAAGTGAATGCGATGAGATCGGGAGTCGTGGTGCTTGGAGCACTGGCATTTGGGTACCTTACGCTACAGCTTGGGTTCAGGCCCTTCCTTGAAAGAGCTCAACTTGCTGTTGATGAGTCTGAGCCGCCATCTTCCTCCTCCTCAGAACAACGGCTTAACTCAAGCTCAACCCGCCACTTCTAAATAAACAATACCCACTACCCAGAGCCTCACAACTCTCACTTGTTTTGCAATTTTTGTTTCTTTCTTTTTTTTCTTTTGTTGGATTGGGAAGTTTTACTGCACCGCGCAACAGGGTTTCTCGCTGACCCAGAGAATTGCTTGGGCCATTGGTGCTCTGAAAGGTATTGAATTGAACTTGATTTCATTGATTTAATGGTATTTATGATGGATTTGGATTTATGTTTCTGCCCAAATTTAAAATATATTAAGCAGAAAGAAAGAGAAGTTAGCTAAAGGGATGTGCTTTTCAATTGGTTTAGTGGGTTCTTCTGAAGTAAATTCTTACGTTCATATTTAGATGAGAATTATCAAGATCATCACCTATCTTCTGGTTGTGCTAGAAATTGAGTTTTATCCAGTGAGTGGACTCCCACATGCTCTTTTAAACCTTGATCTCAATTTTTTCCTTGTGGTCTGTAATCATTGGTTAAATTCAATGTAGAGCTTTACATTTCAAGGCTTGGTCACATAATGAGAGTATCTGATTCTGAATTGTTTTACTTTGGTTTCTGTTGTTTTAACAATGGGTTTGCAGTTCCATATGGTTTCTCCCATCCTAACATGCCCAACAAAACTTGTTTATCAGATGAGTAAACTTCAGTTCATTATGTGACCACAAAAATTCTTTATGATACATTAGCTATGCACGGCTTTTGAATTCCGTGTACATTGAAGAAATTAATGCTCATATCATATGGGTATGTTGAATGTGGCTTTCATCTCTCACGGTCTCAGCTTACCTCACCTCGTGTGCATTTTTAGTATTTCTACGTATGTATGAATGATATCATTGACATGGTACTTTTTTTTATAAATGTTAATGTTTATGGCAATGTTTTTCCATTTGCTTCCCAACTATTCTATACTCTCTAGGTCTTTAATTTGAGAAGGACATTGCTCGTATACAAGGACTTGGCTGATAGACTCGGAAAACAACACCTGTGTTCTTTTTCTTTTTGTTCCAAACAAATCTTTATCTCATTTATTTCCCACTGGTTTGGTTTTTAACTCAGGTAAAGACTCAAAACAAATCAACGCCTCATTTTCTTTGTAGTGGTGGAGGGCGATGGTCCAGCAGTGGATTGTTTTCCGACTGGAAGGGCCACAAAGAAAACGTAAGACTCCACAGGATGATTGTGCAAGAGAGGGTTTGATGTTAAAGAGAAGCAATCAGAGAGGGTAAGGAATGTTATAGCTCAGAGGGCTCAAGCATGTGTTTAGTCAGAGGAAGAAGTTTATGCAGAGTTGGGTTTGATCAAAACTTACAATGTAACATTCTTTGGTTGCCCTGTTGATGAACACAAATTTTTAGCTCCAACTGATGTATGATCTCTGTTGATGAACACGATAACTTTTAGTTATGGATTATTTTTTTTTAAATCAAGGGTTGTGGGTACGTGGATATACATTGAAGTGGAATACATAAAATGTGTCTGATATGGAAGCTGATAGCGGTTTTAGGTGGTATTGTTGTGTTGCGTTTTGTTAATAACAGGAAGGGAAGTGCACTGCATTAGGCTCTACTACAGACTTCATCCGTGTAGTAAACTTTTTGATGGAGTTCTACTTTTTCCAATACTACTTTTTCTTAAATTTGTTTTCTACTTGATGGTAAATGATGCGTTACATATATGTTTTTTGGCACAAGATCTGCTACATGATCCGAAGACGTGTTGCGTGAAGATGATTTCGGAAATTTTGTTGACAATAGTCTCTCTAATTCGGACAGGGTAGCAATTTTGGTACTCCTCTTTTAGCCATCTGCCATACAAACAAATATTGTACAATTTCTTCTCACACAGGTGAGTGCTAAGAAGGCAATGCTAAAAGAAGAGCGTTTAAATCACTAGCCAATTTCGGAGGCTTCACCGTGAAGCTATTCCCTCGATGTTACTACAAAACCAGTGAGTCTGATTGTCATGCTTGACGCATGATGGAAATTTAGTAGACAAAACAAACAAATCAGCAAAACGATAAAGATAAAAAATGTGAAACATGAACATGGCGGGTACGTTAAGCTGTTTGTTTATGTTCTACTGATTCATCCTGTCCCCCCGACAAGAGACATGTGATTGAATTTGAACCCCCTAGATATTCCTTCGAATTCCATCCCATGAATGAATCAGAGGGTTCACGTGTAACTCTTCTTATTTTACTATGTTGCCTTCCATGTGGCATGGTGTTTCCCTTTCACTTGAAGCAATTTCATTAAGCTTCTGTTCTGTTAAGAGACTTGAAAGAAAGGGTTGACTTATGGGAGAGTCCATTTAACACATGCATCACTCTCATGTACAAATCAAGTTTTTAGATCATCATTAAAGTTAAAAATAAATTTCCCTAATGGCAATGCCATTTCAGCTCAAATTCATGACATTTTTCACTAAAATTAAGGAGATTCACTTCCCTTAAAATAAAATAAAAATAAAAATAAACCTCCTGTTGACATTATAAACTGAGAATTCAAAGGGAGTTTGGATCGTTTGTTGCAGTGTTTGTGATTTATTTTTTCTATTTCTAGATCTGTTATTGTTGTTTTGTATTTGGGTTGTGCTCTTTCTATCTTTAAATCTTGTATTTTCCCCTTTTCTTAATGAAAAACTTGCCACTTTCACAAAACGAAAAAAAGGAAAAAGAAAGGAAAACAGATCCATTGTGTATTATCCAAGCAATGTCATGCAATTATGACTTATTGACCTTAAGTTTTTTTTTTCAGAAGTTCTGCAATTATTCATCACAACTTACAACAGAGTGCACCCAATTTTTTTTTTTTTCTTTTTTATCAAGTTAGAAAGGAGAAGGGGGAGATGTGTAATTGAGGCTCAAACCTTAGGTCATTGGTTTATAGATAGAATGTTCAACCACTAAACTAGGGGGTGTATTCAATTGTGATTTTAATGGATTGTTTTGCAGCTTAAAAGTACGACGATATTCAATTAGGATTTTTAAATAATCAATACAAGTTCGGTAACATTAAATTATGACTTTTAAAAGATAAGAAAAAGTACTGTGATATTCAAAAACTTACTGATTTTGAGGTATTTTATTAAATGATATATTGTGTGAGACTTTTGAGTGTGTGATATAAATACCAAATTACATAACAAATCTCATCTTCCTATGCATGATTCTCATATATGCTCTCATACTTTTTTTTTCCCACTATTTTTGTATGCTTTCGACTGTACATGAAAAAAACTTTTCATAAAAGAGACGATAAAGAAATATTAACAAGAAAGACGATATTGCCTCTTCTAGAGCTAATGGGCATTTTCCAATAGCTCTTCTTTCCTTGTAGACAAGCTTATTTGGAGCAAAATTGTATTTTTGATACTTTTTTTTTAGAATCTCCTGCTCATTGTAGAAATTTCCTCGCAAGGAGTTACAGCCCTCCACAACTCTACTGTGTGCCCACAAGTTGCTTGATCTAATGCCTCAAAGAGGCTTTTTTTTAAATTTAAAAATAATAATAATGCGTAGCTGCTGCACATACAACGCACATGGCTAAATATTTTTTCTAATTCCCTATCCCAAAACGTTTGGGACCAGGACAAAACAAAAAAAGAAAGAAGAAGCCTTACCCACAATCTAGAAGAAATGTTGATAAGGTGCAAGGTGTTTTTTTTCCCTCCACAGTTTTGGTCCAAGCTTTGACAAAAACTAGGAGTAGTCATGGGGTTAGGCTAGGAGTTTTCAATACGTTTCTTTATTTTGTATTTATGGTGCTGTCTGTTTTACATTAGATGTTGGTGGTTTTGGATGTAGCTTCTAGGCTTTGATTATACTTTTGTATTTCTATTGTTGGTTTCTCAATTGTGTTGTGTTTCTTTAACGTATTCATTCTGGTCATGTGTGGCTATGTTGGGAGTTACATTGTTGATGTTGGTGTACTTTTCCTGGACTAGCCTTTGATAGTTACTGTGTCTTCATCTTTATATTAACCCTAAAAATTAGGTATATTCCTTCAGGTTATGTATTTAAGTGAATGATGATGGGTGGTAAGTTCAAGCTTGTATAAAAATATACGTAAAATCATAAGTAAAATCTTAAGTGAATTAAAATCATAAGTAAAATCATAAATGAATTAAAATCATAAGTAAAATCATGTAATTGCAATATATTAAAATCATATAATTACAAATCCAGCTAAAATCCATTACATTAAAATCATGTAATTACAATATATTAAAATCTCAATTGAATATGCCCCCTAAGACAAGAGTGCACTCACTTTGCTAGACAATGTTTTGCATTAAACTAAATTGATTTTTTATATATAATGAGATTAATTATTATCGATTAGAGACAACAAAACGATTCCACACACAGTGTACCCGATCCCAAACATTTTATTTTAGCTATCACTTGGTACCAAAAGAATAAGGTCAAAATATTGTCACATAACAAACAGTATATTTTTTTATTATTTTTTTCAAAACGTTTAAAACAAGTTAGCAAAGTGGCCATCTCCCTCGCGCAGAGTCATGACTTCATGATGACATTTTTTGACCGTCTATCTGTATTGTTTGTGAAGTTTGTCTTCAATTTATGAAGTCTCTTTCATAAAGGAAAAAAAATGGAGGAGTTTTAGATGTGTCAAGTTTTAAGAGGTTAGATTATTAGAATTGTGTTTTTTTTAATACAAGCGATTGAAGGAGAAGGATTTACACAAATATTTATTTGATATATGGGAATTTCGATCTTCCGTGGAGTGAAAAAATTCAACCAACTTTAACTAACTCAATTGGCAAATTATAAGAATGATTACGAAAAGAAATGTGATTCCCCCCCGGGTAACTCCTGTAAACAAAATAACTTTAAAAAAAGTGGTTCATGCTTACGTTTCCTATAATGAGATTAGGCCTGATTGTTAACGTTGTGAAGTTTCAAAGAGCAAAGTGGTAAGTCGATTGTCAAAATTTAGATGCAAAACTGAAACGTACTCTTTGAATGTTACTTTTTCTTTAATTAAAAAAAGCCCCAAAAACAATTATTTTTTCACAATAAAGAAACATGTATGTGACTTTATTATTATTATTTTTATTTTCAGAAAAAAGGATGAAGAGGGTGATAAATAATAAATATTACGAAAAGAAAAGTTTTATATTATTCTATCAAAGACCCCTTTACAGCCACAGTGAAGTGGTGTCGGGATTATCGATCGTCGTCAATACAGAGTAAAAACCCAAAACGACGCTCCATCTTCTCCACGTGCACAACACGACCCAGAGACTTCTCCTCTGTTTCCCGTTCTCTTCATCTCACGTTCTCTCAGGAAAACATGGCACCCGCCTATCCGTTACCCACTTTCGTCCCTCCACTAACGCCATAACTCCTGTCAATTATCAGTTGCTCACGAGTGGACCAAACCCTCTCTCTTTCTCTCTCTAAAACCTTAAAACTCAAACCCAAGTCTCTCTGTTTCTCTCTCATCGTAGTCTTCATCAGACTCCCATTGGTTTTGATTGTTGAAATTCTTGTCCTTCGCTCTCCTTCCATCTCTATCTAATAATATATCTAGTTCGATTGGTCTTTGGCCTATTTGGAAACTCAATCCCTCATTAAACAGAAGCATATCTTTGCAGATAATACCCTCATCTGTATTATTAATGGCTCAAATTTATTCTGCTTTACTTTGCCAATCACCACCACAATCAGAATTTTATTTCCTTCCATAAAGTAAAGAAGAGAAAAAGGTGAAGTATATATATATATATATATATGTACATACATGTAACCTCCGCCATGAATGCTTCTTTGCTTCCTTGACACACCCATATCGCTCGCTTTTTTAAGCTCTGTTTGTCATTCATTACAAACTAATATTACTGACCTACCAAGCAAAGCAAAGCAAAAGCCCAAATAGGACTCTTTTTTTCTTTATCGATCCCCATATTAGGCTATGAACGCTATTTTGCTTGTGCTCCACACCTATTTGCTTTCAACCCATCAAACTTTCACTTTGTCTTGATCAATACCGTTAGAGAAGCACAACCCATATCCCAAAATCTGAGTTTGAGCTCCAATGTCTAAGGACCCATCTCACCAGCCTGAGACTGAAACCATGCCATTCTTTGAAGTTTTTAAGAAGTTTAAGCGTTTCAAGCTCTTTGAGCCGTCTTTGGGCGTTTTGGGTTTCTTCTTTGCCAGTGTCTGTGTAATTTTGTGCCTCTTCTACTTGGATTATAGAGCTGTGGTTAAAGGGTTTCGGTTCCCGGGTCAATCGGAGCGGTTTATGTGGCTGCAGACAGACGGGTCGGTCAAGGATCCGAGGGTTGAGTTTTTAGAACAAAAGGGTGGTGGGTGTGATGTGTTTGAAGGGGATTGGGTGTGGGATGAGTCCTACCCTTTGTATAACTCCAAAGATTGCCGCTTTTTGGATGATGGCTTTAGGTGCACTGAGAATGGCCGGCCTGATTTATTTTATACCAAGTGGAGATGGCAACCCAGACATTGCAACTTGCCCAGGTACTTTTAATTTTTAACTTTTTCTGTGATTTCTATTGGATTTTTTAAAGTACGTTTGCTGAGAAACAGAGGGAAAAGAAGAGAAATCAAAGTTGTGTGCTTTGAAATTGGATATTGTTTCTGATGACATTGGTTTTTATTGTAACAAATTATACGATTATTGATGAACTGTGGAAGCAAAGTGTTTACACTCAGTGATCAAGTAGTTGCATACCTGTAGTTCGCTTGCTCTATTTTCACAGCCTCAGTTTCTCTTCTAGGACTAGAAGTTCGATTGGTTGAGTTGAGTCCCTACATAGGAAACTAAATCAGCAAACATGCTTTATGTATTTCTGATTTTCTCAGCAACCAAACGATTAGATAACGGTAATTGGGTGTATTTGATTAATATTTACTCTCACTGTTTTTAGCGTAGTGTGTTCTCTGTGTCTGTGTCTTAATGGGTGTAATTGTCATGGTTAGTTAAAATGTCTATCCTGATAGTGACACACTTTTTGAGTCTCATCTTAGGCTTCTTGTGAGAGTACTTGTGATAATAAATAAATGCAGTTTGAATTGTAGTGCCATTCGTCGTTTGTTTTGTAATTCTATGTATGTTTAAATCCTGATGGCGACACACTTTTTGAGTAATCTTAGGCTTCTTGTGAGAGTTCTTGTGATAAATAAATGCGGTTTGAATGAATTGTAGTGCCATTCGATTTTGATTATACTCTATGATTTGATTTGTAGTGCCATTCGTTATTTGTTTTGTAATTTTCTGTATGTTTGAATCCTGATGGTGACATTTTAGAATTATTGCATTTATGAAAATTTCGTTTTTCTTAAAATTAATTCTTTGATTGGATAGATTAGTCTAGGATTTTTTATTTATTTTTTATTTTTTTATTTTTTTGCTTTTCCAACAATAGTACTCGGAAACTTAGGCAAAAGATTTAGTTGCCAACTATCTTGAGAACTTTGAAACAGCATTTCTCAATTTTCAAAAGGTACATAAAATCAGCTAACGAGAGTGTCATTTTCCTGTGGTTAATAAACAGATTTGATGCGAAGTTGATGTTAGAAAAACTGCGTGGCAAGAGGCTAGTGTTTGTTGGTGATTCAATTGGAAGAAACCAATGGGAATCACTCCTCTGCATGCTCTCTTCTGCAATTCCTGATAAGGATTCAATCTATGAAGTGAATGGCAACCCAATTACTAAGCACAAAGGGTTCTTGGTGTTCAAATTTAAGGATTTTAACTGCACTGTTGAGTACTACAGGTCTCCATTTCTAGTACTTCAGAGCCGCCGTCCTTCTGGAGCTTTACAAAATGTCAGAACAACTATGAAAGTGGATCAAATGGACTGGAATTCTGCAAAGTGGAGGGATGCAGATGTGCTGGTCTTCAACACAGGGCACTGGTGGAATTATGAGAAGACTATAAGAGCGTAATGTTAAATCTTAATCCTCTTTGACTACTTTACAAGATTCTCTCATTTGCATTCAGCATGAACCTTTCACTTTGTTATTAATAATATTCAATGAAGGATTTTGAAGGGGCTAGGAGGCAAATGGTTTGATCCACCCCCAACATTTTTCTTTGTTTTTAGCTTTCCAGATTTTGATTTTTTTAAGAACAGAAAGAAAGTATTTGGTAACTAAATAAATGTTTTCACTAAATAATTGGGTCACCTCGACCTATATTTTGGTTGAAAGTTGATCTATAGGTGTTTGGACTTGTAAGGAATCTCAAGGATGGCTATCTGGAAGTTCTGGAGTTTTGCAAGTTATATTACTAAAATGGTGGACTTGGGCTTTAGGACTTGTTATATTTGGGGCTAAAATCGACATGAAGGAAAAGGGAAATTATTTGGTAAAATAAGCAAAAATAGTGCATTTCTAAGTGACATGCCTTTAATCATGTTTGAAGTTTTAAACTTATTGAGCTTTCTTTGTCTGGATTTTCCTCCTGGTAGAAAGATTAAAAGTTTCAATATGTTTTTTTTTCTTTTCAGGGGTTGTTACTTCCAGGTAGGGGCAGAAGTAAAGATGGAAATGAGCGTAGAAGATGCGTATCACAGCTCCATGGAGACTGTGTTGCGCTGGATAGACACTGAAGTAAATTCAAGCAAGACTCAGGTTTTCTTTCGAACATACGCCCCTGTGCATTTCAGGTTTGTTTTTGTTACTTTAAATAATCTGTTTTTTTCCCTTTCCAACGTATATCCTATCAATGATTCAGCATCCGTTAGACGTCTTTAGAGATTTTTGGGATGATCAATTTTTCATGTCTTATGTATGTTTCCCTTTGCTGGGGAAGTAAGATACTATGTTTATCCTTACTGAAAAGCTGAAGTGCTCTTTATGAATAATGCAGAGGCGGGGATTGGAAGACGGGGGGAAACTGCCACTCAGAGACTCTGCCTGAGCTAGGGTCCTCATTGGTTCCTCCTCCATCTTGGGATCAATTCAGGATAGCCAATGCTGTGCTATCAGCTCACTCAAACACATCAAAGGCAACGGAAATTGATATATTAAACGTAACTCGAATGACTGCACGAAGAAAAGATGGGCATTCGTCTTTGTACTATTTGGGTCCTAAAGTTGGCCCTGCGCCTCTCCATCGCCAAGACTGCAGCCACTGGTGTCTGCCTGGAGTCCCTGACACATGGAATGAGCTACTCTATGCGTTATTCCTAAAGCGTGAGATGACCAGCAAATTTAACTCATCAACTTATAGGGCACAGGTATGATGTGAAACAAGTCTCTTGTTTATATGTTCCCAAGGAAGACTCGGCTTCTGTGCACGGAGCAATGCTTCCTACAGTTAAAGGGGAAAAAGGCCAAAGGACACACAGCACATAGCAGCATCAATTTTGTCAGGGTTTTGAGTTTTGGTTTGATAGCAGGCTTCAGATTTTTATGTTAATAGATGGATCAATTATGATTGATGTGGAGAAACAACATTCTTTTGGAAGACAAAAATCCCAACTTCAGGCAGGAAATAGGCTGTCAGGGGTTTCTTGAATAAAATTATCAAAGTGTAGAGAAATTTTACAGTGTTTTTCCTTTTTATGTTTCTTTAAATTATTAAATAGGCATTGTAATTCCTTTGGGAAAATATGTAATTAAATAGCTTTTTTTATATACATATATTGTCTCAGTAAACGTCTTATTCAGTTTTAACTAATAAGTTGAGAATCATCAGGAGGAGCAATTTGATCCAATTTCTTTGTAACATATATAAGTTAGGCAAAAAGTCATTTTTGATTCATGTAGTTTCTAATCGTGAATTTTTTTCAAATGTTTCTACCTTCTGTTACTTTTTGAACATGTGCCCCTCACATGAAGGGGCAATTTGGTCCAATCGTACCATTGCCAAGTTGGCTCTCCCTCCATTCACCTAAACAATGTCAACCACCTTCGAGTCTTGATCATCAGCACCCTCATTAGAAGGTAACATACAACATATCTCTGATATCAGATATTTGCTTGATTCAAAGTCACCTCAATGAAGTTCTTTAATTTAATATTAAGGCAAACTTAGATGAACTAAATTGGGCAGGGGCCGCGCGAACGCAGGCCCCCACTGGCACAAATTATGACGTTGGCTCTCCCAATTTAGGGAGACCATAAGCAGGCACCCCTCCTAAGTGCAATGGAGGTCACCTTCCTAGGCCATGGGCCTTCATGATCGCCCATTAACCCCGTCCAGGTAAGTATGTTTCACATGCCGCACCCAACCCACTTTTATACTGCCCTATCTTTTTCCACATTTTGAGTTTTCTCGATGTGGGATGCTGAAACATATACAACAATTGAAAACACATCAAACACCCTAACATAACATGCACATTTTCAAAAAAGTGCGGCAATACCCCGAGAATCTAGCGAGTGCAGGTAGCCTTCTTCTCTATGTTTCTTGCGTTGGGGGAGGCCAATTTACGCAGTGATCACGTGGTGGAAAAAATGTTGGAGTTTGGTGTCCAAAGATCACTCTTGGATGTTTATATCTATAAAATCACTCAGAGGTCATTGCGTTGTCCTTGTTGAAGCTTTTTCCATTGAAGACCAAGTTGATAAAGTTGAAATCTGTTTGAGAGATTGAGTGCGTGTCCCCTGTTTAGTCTTGATTTTATGATAATATAGTGCCACTTCAATCTTTGTTGAAATTAAGCAAAGTTGGATTGTCTTCGGAATTATTGAAGCTAGTAAAAAAAAAAATCCAGCAGTTTGCGTGGAATTGGTTTGGTTTTAGACATGAGCCATGAGGAGCATTTAATGTTCTACCTAATTTGTATTTTGGAGTTATTTGGACCGACTCAATTTTAAGGAGCCAAATTTTTTCTTATTTAAAATTCTACACGGCTCAATTTCTTCTCTTTCGAAAAACAAAGTCTCACGTTCAATTTGCCTCTTATTTGAAGGCATGAAATTGACCCATTGTTAATTTTGGTCCAACAATTTTAAAAATTGCTAAGATATCACAATTTAATGTCAAGACAGTAAAACAAAACTCATCTTTAATCTCTCTCTAAACCCTAAATTGTCAAAGACTTTCTTTATAATAAAGGATTAGTGAATAACCACCCAAAATCCCAATAAAGATGCAGAAATACCTAATGTCAATTTTGCTATAGCTCCCTTCCTATTGAGAAGAACAAAAAAATAATTCATTATTTAGGTACAAGAGAGATGATACCCTATATGCTACTCAACATTCTAATTTGATTTCCTAAAAAAAAATATTTTTGTCAAGGTTTTTATTTTGGCCTCAAAGGGACAATATTTTTGTTCTCTAATATGAAAAGTAGTGTACGTCTTTAAATTTGGAGTAACATGGGGTAGGGATCCTAATCTCCCGGGTTCAAAATTTTAATCACAATTGCAAAACAAACCAAAAAAGAAGAAAAGAAAAGGAAAGAAGAGGCATCATTCATTCATTCATTCTGGAAGCGTGAAAATCAAGCCTACTGGCCTAGCCTTACAATCCTGTCTCTCACTCGATTCACAAACAAGCTTTGGTTTAGCCGAGTAGAAGATTCTCTGGTTTTTGTACGTTGGGTCTTCTCGTCTTCTCAGAAGCAAAACAGCAACCAGAAGAAGACACACAGGCACTGTGGAAGGGAGAGAGCAATGGCAGCAGAACCCACTGCCCAAGAGAGCCGATCGAGGGACCTCGACAAGCTCCTCCTCCGACCGGGCAATCTCGTCGGACCCAACTTCGAACCCGGTCCCTCGGTAAACCCTTCTCGCCCTTTTCCCTCTCTCTGTAACATTCGATTATACGATTTTGGGTTTCTTATTTTGATTTTGTTGCAGCTGAGAGACGACCTCAAAGAATACGGGAGAGTGTTGGTGGTTGGGGCTGGTGGGTTGGGCTGTGAACTGCTCAAGGACTTGGCTTTATCTGGTTTTCAAAAACTTGAGGTTATAGACATGGATCGCATCGAGGTTTCTAATCTCAATCGCCAGTTCCTTTTCAGGTTACTTGATTTTCTTGGTGCTTTTATGTTTAATTTTCTCATGCGTATTTTTTGAATGGGTGAGTTACATGAATATATGCGAGTTTAGTACCCAGTTCACTGTATTTCACTGCTAAAAATTATTTGAAAACTAATATGGTAAACCTTGCTTTGAAGATGGAGCATAAGTGGTGCACTAACTGTGTAGTCTCTCAATACTATGGTTTTGCTAAATTTCTCTTAGCTGAAGTTCTATGAACCTGTTTTTGGAATCTCAATCATGAACTATTGTTGATGTTCGTGTGTTTTACTTCGATATTAGCAGTTTATCTGCTTTGGTATTATCTATTTTGATATTCAATATGAAAAACAAAGGAAGAAAAAGAGTTAGCATTTCAGTTTCTTGTTAAAATGCTTTGCTCATGAAGTTATTGTTGTAGACTTGAAGATGTAGGTAAGCCAAAGGCTGAGGTGGCTGCAAAACGTGTCATGGAAAGAGTTGGTGGTGTAAATATTGTTCCACATTTTTGCCGGATTGAGGACAAAGAGCTTGAATTTTATAGCAAATTCAGCATTATTGCCCTCGGTCTTGATTCCATTGAGGCTCGGAGCTACATAAATTCTGTTGCTTGTAGTTTTCTTGGTATGTACCCTCAACCTATCCATTTTGCTCATATTTTGTCTCTCTGTCCAACAGTTTGTGTAATTTATTAGAAGTATTACATGACTTTAGATGCTCCTGTAATCAGGTTGCTGTGATTATATTTTGCACTTGTTGATTCTGTGATGATGATTTCTCAACCTAAATTGTTGCTGTAGTATTTTGTCTAATTATTGATAAGTACTGAGTCTATTTTTCTTATGAGAACAGGGATAATAGATTTGAATGGAATAATTCTTAGAAAAGCCTGCAGAGGATAGATTTTGGTCAATAAGCTTGCTTTTTGATATATTTGATATATATTGCAAGTTTAAGGCGCCAAAATTGGTTCAGCTTTGGTTTGAACTTTTATCCCTAGTAACAGATCCTTTGTTTCTTGGTGAAATTTGCCTTGATGCTCTCTTATATAACAACATTTTCAGTTTCTTTTCAAATTCTTTTTATCTGGGTCTTATCCCATGCTACCCATTACATATCATTCCTGAAATGACTTGTTTTTACTGTACTATACTTGAGCTAAACGTGGCCTGTTGCAATTTTTTTTCTTTTCCATTTGGAAGAGTATGATTCTGATGATAGTGCACTGGAAGAAACAAGCAAACCTATGGTAGATGGTGGGACTGAAGGTTTTCAGGGACATGCTAGGGTCATTGTGCCAGGGGTCACTCCGTGCTTTGAGTGTACCATCTGGCTTTTTCCACCTCAAGTGAAGTTCCCTCTATGCACCCTTGCAGAAACCCCTAGAACTGCTGCTCATTGTATTGAATATGCTCACTTAATTAAATGGGATGAGGTAATACATTGCTCACAATTTCAATGTTTGTTTCCCCTTTACTTTTCCGGGCACCTTAAAACTGTTCCATAAGTTCTCAACTTCTTGTATGCCAACTGAACATGCATTCTACATATAGGTACATAGCGGTAAGGCTTTTGATCCAGATGATCCAGAGCATATGAAGTGGGTCTACAATGAGGTCAATAAAGTGCAATCATGTAGTGATTTAAAGAAAGATATTTTTATGGATTTTCATTTTGACACTCATTTTGCTGCTCAATAGGCTACCAAGAGAGCTGAGCTTTTCGGTATTCCCGGAGTTACATATTCCCTTACTCAGGTATGTGTGTGTATATATACATATATATTTATATGTTCTTACAGATGTCTGTTTCTCCTAAGATTATTTTTCTTTAAGATTTTCTGGCATGGTTTGGCCTTTGCTGTTAATTTATATGGAAAGATAAATGACTTGCAATTTTTGGTACCTATGTAGTTGCAGCTTTACAGCATTGATACTACTATTTGTGTCCCTTCTGTAATAAGCAGATTTTTCTGTTTACAGGGTGTTGTGAAGAACATCATACCAGCTATTGCTTCCACAAATGCGATTATATCAGCTGCCTGTGCGCTAGAAACATTGAAGATTGCATCGGGATGCAGCAAAACCCTGTCAAACTATTTAACGTGCGTTCCATTTTCTATTCTATATTACCTGACAGTATATTCTTGTGAATCTTGTCCAGATGTCATATTATGGTTTCAAATTGATGTATTGGATTCATGAATGACCACCTGCGAAAAAGTTTAGAATTACTGAATCTCCCCCTCTCTTAAATGTATCTTATTCCTCCAAGTTTGCATTTCATTATTGTTGAGCCCCAAAAGGTTAGATTCAATGTGAAAGTTGTGCAAACCACCAAGATCTTCTTACATTGTCAAATTAGTTAATCTAGCTGCTGGTTCGTTGTTGAACATCACTATAATCGCCATTAAAGAGAATGGCTGCAGATTTTTGTGGGTTTTTCTTCTTTTTCTAACCAAACTTGTTTCAGTATGTACTGAATGATCAGAGTCTTTTGTAGGTATAATGGTGCAGAAGGTCTCCACACTAAAGTGACTGAATTTGTGAAGGACAAAGACTGTCTTGTATGCGGCCCAGGTGTTCTTATTCAGCTGGACACCTCAATTACTTTGGAAAAGGTTATTTTCAATTTCCTTTGGTTGCTAGGATTTGGTTCCTACGAATCATGAACAAAAAGTATTTCTTCTTGATTGAGAATACCTTTTGAGAAATTTAGTTTTGGTGTCAACTTTCATCTTGATGTTTCTGAGTCTTGCATAATAGTCTTTGTGGTTATAGTGTTCCTAAGAATCTAAGATCAATGGGAATATTTTGCTTGTCTGATGAAAGCTATAGTATGCTTTGGAGATGCATGCTATATGTTTTACTATGTTTCCAGTTATAATCCTTTTGACCTAACTTATAGTCAAAACCATCTGAGTAGTAATATTGTTCTTCCTTAGTGTTTCTTTTTATGTCACCCTTGGCCTATTTTTTTGTGGTTTGCAAAAACGTTGGTTTCTCAAGAAACAAATAGTCATTCTAGTTTCTAAATTAACTGAGTTGGCCAGCAAAACTGCGTACGTATCAACTTCTCAATCAACATAGTTGTTAGACTGTTCTTCCTAGTCTCTTCTCTTTTGTCAAAACAAAGCAAATGTTGTTAAAATGCTTAAATTATTTTTTCTCATAGTGAAATTCTGATTTGAGGCATCAGTCATATGTTTGATTATTTTAATGCTTGTCCTAATTCAAGTTTTATGGCAACAGTTCATTGATCTACTTAAAGAGCACCCTAAATTGCTATTGTCGAAAGCAAGCATCACACATAGAGGGAAGAGTCTGTACATGCAGGCGCCACCTGTACTAGAAGAGATGACCAGATCAAACCTAAGCATACCACTTTTTGATTTGATCGGTAAAATTCCCAAAGATGTTGTCCATGCGATTGGTACAACCACCAAGAACGACAAGAAAACTTCGTGTCTGAGAAAGCTACGAGTTGTTTTCAAGGGAGTTGATGGGATTGCAGATATGGATACAGCAGGCGAGACATAAGTTTTTCCCTTGATATAACTAAAGACCACAGGACTCACAAAGCTTTTGAAGATTCTCTCCCTGAAACTATTGAAGCAGGAGGCGGAATTGGTGAGGCAAGGTTTGAATACCATTCTAAAATGTAAATTTTTTCTTCGAATGTGTCTTTGAAGATCATTGATATTTTATTATCACCATGAGAGCGATGAGATTTTACAGTTTCAAGTTGCCCTCAGTAAAATTGTTTGGATGAGAATGCGTTTTGGATGAGAGATTCACGGTTATGTTATGAATTCCTATTGTCAATCAGATTTCATGTCCTAAATGATTTACCTTATATTATGCTTGTACCGACAATAAGTAAATGAGTGGTAGATTGCCAAACTAGATCAAAAATTTTAGTGTAATTTTTCATAATATGAGGGATGTCATTGTAATTTTACTAAAATTCAACACAAGATTCTTATGATGCAAGGCCAAGGGGAACTTCTCCAAATATCCCATTGAAAAATCAGACAGAAGTCAATTGGATAACAGACTACCAAAGGCTACTGGTGCATGCGCAGCTGTCAAGTTATCCATAGAAAATAAAATTATGACAAGTTTAGGATGAGGTTTTCATACCAAATTAAATGGTTCAACAACAAATCAATCCCCAGTTGATTTGAGCCCTATGATCAGCTTCAAGGTTCCTTCCTGGCTGGATCCCACTACAACCCAACATTCCACTCCCAGTCTCCAAGAAATGAGGAAATTTCGAAGTAATAATCCTCATTAAAATTTTATAATATATATATATATATATAATTTGCAGGGGTCATGAAATTGCATGCACCAGAATGCTGAGTCAATGCCAGCCAGAAAACCGTGTGGAAATGGGATGTGGACCAAGCAACACCATATAATTCAAGACTTGCTTTCCAAAGAAAAGTAAAGTGCATGCAGCTGAGAGCTAGCTATATATGATTATGAACGAACAAGTGGAAAAGAACAAAGAAAAAAAGAAGAGAGAGAATAATAATGCATCTATCTTAGTTAATGCTTGCAATTGACTGACTGACAAAGAGGATATAAATGAAGAAGTAGAAAAAGCCAAGAACACAAAAGATCAAATTTATCTGGTAACAAGTCTATTTTTCTACTTGTGACTGCTGGCCCACACTCTACCAGATGCTTGCCAAAGATTTACAGTCTGCATAATGAATCTGACCAACAGGTTGCTGCTTAACCATGGTGAACCAAGGGGTGCTCTTTGCACCCTTGGTGGTTGATTTTCAGCATACGCATAATTCTCCTTTCATTTTGTACCCACCACTTTTGTTTTTTCCTTTACTTTTTCTGTCTTATCCAAGGAATGCATCTGAGATTGGAATTAAGGCATCCTTCAAATTATATATTTTCTAGATATGACTGTTGTGTTTGACAAAGATTTACAGTCTTGCAAGTTGAGTCTGAGCAACATGTTGTCTAACAATGGTGAGGTGCTATTTGCACCCTTGGCAGACATCATGCTCCTTTCATTTTCAAAAGTACCCATCACTTTTGTTATTTTGATTGATTTTTTTATTTTCTATTTCTTGCTTATGCAAGGTATGAATCTGAGAGTGAAAAATAGTTTCTCCCCTAACTGAAAATCTCTACTTTATCTAGATCCTTCAAAGAAAACTATACTATAATATGTACCATGTTTACATATGGACTATTTGTGGATCTTGAAACATACACTTGTTCTGTTTTAGGAAATATGGATGAGAGGAAGAGAACTCATTTACCACCAAGTGTGTAGGTTGCTAGAGATTTTGAGTCTATCTTGGATGGAATATCTGGGTGTGGGTTGTGTTGCCTGCTGTTCCACATCTCTTTTGGGGCAACTGGATAATATGATGACACACTACATGATTCTTGTAGGGCCCAGTGGGACTTAAAAACAGATAGGCCAACTGCCATTCAGACCCCACCATTCCCACATGGCTGCACAAGCCATGTGTAGTGGGACTTAACCAAACCATCCCCTGCTTTCTCCTATTTAAAATCAGACTGATTCCCATAGATTTGAAGAGAGTTAGATTGGAAGACTTCAAACCCCTCCTCACTTAGTCTGCTTAACACAGACAGACAACAAACACTACCCAATTTCTAGATTAAGAAGAAGATCTGGAAGTAACCATGGAAAAGCTTGAAGATGACTTGTTCTTTGCAGACTTAACTAGGCAAATCTCTCTGCTAATTATGGATGATGATGAGGACCCTGTTGCAACTTGCCCTTCAGTTTCTCTTCAGGTACATACATACACACATCATTTTCATTATTCCATTTCTTCATGCATTTACTTACATATTTGAGTTTCAGTTTTTATAAGGTTCTTGTAGGTTTGTTTTGAAACAACATCACATGTATTAATTAACTGTGCTTCAATTTTCAGGCTTTCTCCTGTGCAATACATCATCCACCTGCACAACCTACTTTTCTGTATGAACAATCCCGCAGAAGAGAAACCAAAGGAACAGGGGTTTTTATCCCCCAGTCATCTCAGCCAAGAAGAAAGCACAGGCAGGGAAGGTTTGCGTCATACAACACAAAATCCCATAGATCATCACAAGCTGATCATCACAAAAGGATGGTTTCCCAAGTATCTTCTGACTGTGCTTTTAGACCCAAAAATGGATGAGATTAGAACCTCATCATGAAGTGTACAATGCAATAAAATTTCTACAGATGAGCCCCTTTGCCCAACATGGGCAAGGCAAGGGTTTTATGATGCTACTATTTTATGTTATGGTGGTGATATATACATGTATGGCAAGGCAAGGAAAAGCTATATATTTTGTTCCTTACTCTGTCAAGGGGAGGCTTACCAAAGGTTTGTACCCTTAGAATTGTGGACATGTATGGGGATTGCTAGGTCGGATATAGGATGAACTTTTCTAATTCATTAGATTGATTCTATTGATTAAATTGTTTTATTCAAATTTTATTTCAATAGATGACTAATAAGTCAATAATGTAATTAATTTACTTGTCCAAAATGGGATTATCTTAAATTGATTGAAGGCAGCAGAACTAGTAGATCTTAATTAATTTCTTATGAGAGTTGCAGTGTTCTGCTTTTGAAGAACAAGTAGTTTGATGTTTGACATCAAACCAAGTGGCCCCAGTTACTGAGCATAAATCCAACTGGGGAAAGAAGAAATCTTGGAGAAAGTTTGAGCTGCAAGATACAGAAAACAAACTTTGTTAGCTTGCTGGATCTGAAATTGGAAGAAAATATCTTGGTTTTGTTTTAATAATAAAGAAGAAAAAAAAAAAAAAAAAAAAAAAAAAAAAAAAAAAAAGATGACAGCATGTGAGCAATTTGGCTGGTTGCAAATCAACCTAATGGAAAGCTATTCATTACGTATCAACATAGCTCTTGTTTAATATGGGAATCTACTAGGACCGTTGGCAGGGGAGCTGCATCATTGCAGGCATCAACTTTCAAATTTCTCTTTAATCATAACATAATTGGTCACTTATCTCTTTTCTCTCTCTCAACTTTACATGATGTCTTGAGATCGATGTAGACTCGTTACAGAGTGTCTGATTGATGCATAATTACCAAATCCTACTTCCATACGGCACGAAAGTTTCGGTTATTTGTCACGAAAATTTCGGTTATTTGTCATAAAATTAGAGCATCCAACTTAAAACCGATTGACAGCACCTGATTTTAGTTAAATTTCGAGACAGAATAGTAAGACATGTGCAATGTAAGGTAATGTGTCGCATTGCCGACACAGGATTTACATTTTAAAATCTCTCTAAGTTTTGAAAAAAGAACAAAAACACATCAGACTCTTACTCAGCATGTCACTTTTATACAGTACTGCATGTACTTCACAAAGTGTGTTGCTTTCATTTTTGGAGGTCAATTTTTGAGTAGTTTTCTCTTTGGCACCATGGTTTTTTTAATCTGTATGATCGTTCTTTTTGTTATATATATAGCTTATCAACTTCTCTGACGCTTCCTACTGGCAGCCCATCTGCCCACATGAGACCTTTCACTTTTGATGCAAACCCTGTCTGCTGATATGAACTGAGAGCTTCAGTAAACTAATAGCTTTCTTTTGAGTTTGCAAAACAGATGTTTTCAAACCTGTTGTTGGTGGAACAATAAAAAAGAATGAGAGCGACAAATTAAGTTGAAGGAAATAAGAACACTATTGTCAGGGAATATTTGCTTTGAAATTTCGTTGAGATCTAGCTAGCACTTTCTTTTTTTCCTTTCCTTTTCTTTTCTTTCTTTTTGGGTTGGGGTGAGATTTGAGATTTGAGATCAGAGATCTAGTAGCAGCACTTGCCCATCTGTGGTGGGATCATCAATGTGCCAAACTTTCAAACAATCGGTGAATAATTTAATGAACAGAATGAATCCTGTGGTTCCCCACCCACAGTCTGTGTCCATGTCTTAAAATTGAAAAGCTCATTTCAAAAGTGAACACCACAACAATTAGTGACAACAAGTCACAAGCCCTCAAGCATATCACGCAAGGAAAGAAAAATAACTTTCATGTAACGGGGATGTTCCTATGACAATATTACAAATTAATCGTATACTATCATATGAGAACATTGAAACACATGATAATGCAAGACATCCTAACATAAGCAAGTTTTTCTCCCAAATGAGAATGAGATGACGCAATAGCACTTAGAAAGGTGAGAAGAAAGATGAAACTCTAAACCACGTAAAATAGTGGCAAGAAAACAACATGTATATAGCTGCCTCATATTTCATGTCAATCTCTCTCAAAACCTTATAATCGTTGTAAAGGAGGAGGATAAAGGACAGATGTGACCACTACTTGGTGACTTGTCAACCACCAAATGTATGGTTAGGTCTTATAAATGCATCACGAGCCAATCCTCCAGTTCCATATTCTTTCAATAAACTGATTATATAAAAAAATAACTTAAAATCCTATAAATAAATAAGAACATTATAAAAAAAATTAGAATAGAAACATTTTTGCATAATTACAATATGAATACAACTATAACTATGTTGAGAGTCAACGAGGTCTAGTTTAGTGGAAAACTGTCTTGACTTGCAGACCAGAAATTTCATGTTTGAATTCCCACGACATCAGAGTTAAATATTTGTTTATTCTCAACCTCTTTGCTTATTTATTCCCTGAACTCACATGGCTAAGCAGACATAATATATATATAAATTTTATATACCGTTTTGGAGTTTTGGGTTTCGTGTTTAAAATTTATGTTCAATATAGCCCATGCTAGCCCATAAAAATGAAATTATATTATGTAATCCCGGACGTGACGACTCTAAGGCCTCAGCGCCAAGCCCAAGTGAGAAGGACTGCAAAGACCGTTAGGATCCTCCGACAGACCGTAATTACCATCTGCCAATGCAATGAAATACAGCAACCACCGTCTCCTGAATTGTAGAACAACTTACAAACTACGAACCAACGAACCAGAGCTACCACTCTGAGAACACAGCAGCTGCGAAGCAATGGCGTCTACACTTCTGAAGCGAGCAAGCTACTCTGCAATGAAATCAGTGGCCGGAGGTTTCCAAATGGGAGCTCAATCAAGAGCCTACGCGGCGGTTGCAGCCGGAACCGACATAGTCTCGGCCGCACCTAATGTTTCCCTCCAGAAAGCTCGGACCTGGGACGAAGGCGTCTCCTCGAATTTCGCCACCACTCCTCTCAAAGACATCTTCAAGGTTTTTGTTTTTGCTTTTGTATTTCTATTTACTTTGCAATTAAGTAAATTGTCAAGCTCTTTGGAGGCTCAAATTTGTTGTCTTTTTTTGTGAAATTTTGTGTTTCAGGACAAGAAAGTCGTCATCTTTGGCCTCCCTGTAAGTTCCTCTCTCTATTTATGTCATGGGTTTTTAATTTGATGTGGTGGTTACTGGTGGTTAGTTAGTGTTGCAGGTGCAATTTTTGTTTTTCACGTTTATACTGACATTGCCAAGCCCCATTTAGTTTTAGCGAAACCCTAAAATATTGAATAAAATATGAATCAAAAGCATGAATTTCTGAATTCTAGATGTTCGTAGAAAGAGGAATTTACATGGGTTTTTTGTTTGCAATATGTCAGGGTGCCTTCACGGGCGTTTGTTCTCAGCAGCATGTGCCTAGTTACAAGAAGCAAATTGATAAGTTTAAGGCTAAAGGGATTGATTCTGTGATTTGCGTAGCTGTTAATGATCCATATGTTATGAATGGCTGGGCAAACAAAATTGAAGCCATAGATGCTGTAAGTTATTCCTTTTATTAAGTACCATCTTCTTATTTCCCAAAATAAGTATGTTTTTAATCTACACTGCTCTTAGTGACTTGAATTTCAAGCAAAAAGTATATAAATGGATGTCTTTCTTGCCTAGGTTGTAGATGCGGGGCCACTGGCCTCATGACTCATGGATCATCATTTCCAAAATCGTATTTCGAATTGTAGTTAATCATAGTCCTTGTACTGAGCAGTTATAATATATTTCATTTCATGGGTCTGTCTCAAGGATAACTTGGAGAAGGATCAGGTTTTTTCAAACTCTTTCTGTGTGAAGTTTTCTTTTTTAAAACTGTCTCGAGTAATTTAAGAAAATAAGGACCGGCCATCTTTGGCAGGCTAGGTCACATTTAAGTTTGATAACTGATTGTGCTTGTACACAGTTACATACTGCATTTGGAAATTCCTCCAAAGTCTAGCAATAGTGCGATTCAGTTTTCCTTTGACGCAATAGTGAATTATTGTTTCCATGCAGCATCATTTTAATTATTTGTAATTTGGCTAAATAGATTGAGTTCTATGGGGACTTTGATGGGAGCTTCCACAAAAGCTTGGAATTGGATAAAGATCTCTCTGGTGCTTTGCTTGGACCTCGCTCTCAAAGGTATGATCACTAGTCGTTTTATCCACACCCTCCCCTTTTCTCTTACTTCTTTTAAGGATCACCCTCCCTCGGTTTTATCCTTTCTGAAAGTGTATACTATAGCCGTTAAAATTTCCCAGTTTTAAAGAAATTTGCTCTCTCATTATGCAGATGGTCGGCATATGTGGTTGACGGGAAGGTTAAAGTTCTAAATGTGGAGGAAGTCCCATCAGACTTCAAGGTTTCTGGAGGGGATGTTATTTTGGGACAGATCTAGAGCTGCCTTAGTTTTGACGGCAATTAATAACTTCGTGCTGTTAAGATTTTGAATTTGAAACAATTACTCGAGGACCTCTGTAGTCTGTGCTGTTTGGAAATAAGTCGTGGACCTCTCTTTATGGCCATGCTAGTTTAGCAAAGGCATAGTATAAATTTTCACTTACACGCCTGCTTCCACCATCGTGCCAAGATTTTGCCATTAACGTTTCCCTAGATTATCATACCATTCTCTACCGTTGTATCTTTTTGGACTTTGGGAGAGAGAGCAAATTAGTCTAGAATGGAATTGTTCATTTTGAACAACAAAGAACAATTAATCAACGTTAAGGGCTTGTAGCTTTCAAGTGGTTAAGAGCAATTACCCATGCACCAAATGTCTTGTGTTCGAATCTCTCTCTTCCAATATCGCTTGCGTATAATTATTGTGGCTGCTGCAGATTGGCAAAATGCCAATACTGAAAATCTAAGAAACCCGTGCGCTCTTTGGCCATTCTCTTGGCAATTCTCTATTGGAGTGATTAAAATTAGCACAGAAAAGGAGGTCGCTTTGCTGGTGGTGGTGTTCTAAAAGAGCTCTGGGCAGTCGGTTTGCTGCTAATCTTGGTTATGGTCAAGTCTTAGAAGCTGAGTTATGACATGAGAATCTATTTTGGGCTCAGAATTGCTTGGGATATGGGCTACAATGCAGCATTGCGGTGCGGCTTATCTATAAAGTTGTGGAAGATTTCATCCTCTTGCTACTATGTTTTTGGGATGCCAAGAGGATATCAACAGAAGCCGGGTCTGTTCTATTCATAGATTAGCTGACTTGGGTTTCTGTCTTGAGCTGGTCTCTCTACCCATTGTTTAATTTTGCGAAATAGGCGGCTTTGCCCCCGGCTCCAATGTTTTATTCAACAATACCCTCTTTTTGAAACTCATTCAAAAACACCCTCTATAAATGCTACTTATTGCGCTCTTATCACCTTTTTATAACTCTTTTTTTGTTGTTGTGTGAAATTCTTCTTCTTCTCTGCTCTCTCTTAAGTTAAGATGAAACCCCAAATTGCTTTATTCTTCACTTCTTCTCTTCTATGCTATGCTCTATCTGAGATGAAACTCCAATTATGCATCTCTCTCTCTCTCACTGATTCCCAGCCCTAATTCCCAATTCTCCACATTCTTCTTTTCTTGGGTCCAAGGACCCATCTTCCTCATCCACACCATTAGCCACCGCCAACACCACCAACAGCAGCAGTAACTACAACAACTCAGCAGCGTCGCCCACCTCTGCTTGGGTCATAGTCAAGCCATCAATTGTTGAATAAAACATTAGAGCCAGGGGGCAAAGCTGCCTATTTTCCTTTAATTTTTCGAATGGGGTTTCTAGCCCCTTTTTTTCAACAAAAATAAGTTAAAATTTCAATAACGGGTATGAGAATTAAATAAGATTCAACAAAGAAGCAAAACACAGTATATTATAATAAAATAAGTTTAAACAGTTGACGGCCTGAGGCAACTGGTACAGAATTCCCCCAGAATCCCTTTAATACTAAGCAACAAAGGAAAAAAATTGTAGGGCAGGACAAATAACTCATCCATATGGAACTATGGTTTGTATTTCGCATAAATAGGCAATGCAGGACGCAAAACCAACCAGCAGCTTGGCTCTTCGCATAACGTCACTTGCTGATATGCCTAATGCTTGAGAGGTAAAACATGTGCCTTACGCTTGAGAGTTAAGACAGAAACTATCAGTCGAGGAGCCAAATCCAAACTTCATTGTATCAGTGTTCGCTCTGTGAGAAAAGCGGGTACAAGTTAGTGCTGCTTCGCACATGATACAAAAGCAAATAAAGTTCGGATAAATGGGATGATTCTGCAAATTGTTGCTATTAATTTTGCTTCAAGGTAGGCGACAAGGATCAAAATCTTGTTCTTTCTATATTTGAACATAGTTTCATATCTTCACTATTAATTACCAACTAATGAATCAAAAAAATGTTCCAAAATGTAAATTTATGATACCTGCGCAGAAGAAACTTCAACACCAACACGGCCTGGTGCAGCAACTGTGATGTGAGAGGGTCCATCTGAACTCTCATCAGCAATTCTCCCGCTACTTTTGTTACAAGACTGAACAATAACATTCTCTAGCACACCTTTTCCCTTGAAATTTGAAGTGCCTCCATTACAACCAGAAACTGGAGTGGGGGCTCCAGGTTTCTTTGGGGTAAGGTCTAGGCGCTCAAACATTCGTGCAACACCAGCAATTCCTGCACTCATCTCACGCTGAACTCCTTTGCTGAGCTCCTTGACTGAGTTGTTACGAGCAACTAGCTTCTCCTTAAAGCCTCGAGTGCTTCTAGAGATTGACTCTTTGTATCTTTCACAATCACCATATATGCATGTAAGTATAAAACAGATGAAAGGAGTAAACATCCACTTTGAAGTGAAGCATAGTAGTATAATTTCTACCTGGCTGAGGCAGCAGACAACTTGGATTTGATAGAATCAGGCAAATTGATCATCTCAGATGGGCTTTGTCTGCGTGGACCATCAGGTGATGACTGGCCATAAAGCACTCTAGAATAACAAAGAAGTGGTAAGCCACAGGAAGATGAAAAGGAGATGAATACAATACTGTGGACAATTGAGAAGATGAACCACATCTAGATCATATACATGTGATGTAAGCAAGAACACTTGGCACTATATTGGTGCAAAATGCATTCCAGGTGATTAAGACAAAGCAGTTTATTGCTCTGACTACTAATTTTGAATTCGCGAGCTTCCTGGAACATATATCCACTTCTAGAGTATGTGGCACCAAAAAATAAATTCATGCACTTCCACATGAGGGAAATACTTTTTAGCCCTAGGCGCATACCTTGGTTTGTAAGGGACATCACTATTGGCGGCAGTGCTGCAGATAAAAGATGGTGGAGGTTGAATAACAGGTGGCCTTTGAGAAGTTGGTGAATCACCTCTGGGTGACCCATAACTTTGGCATTCTTCTGGAGACGTTGGGTATGTTTGCTGCATACCACTCCCATTTTCATGAGGGGAGAAAATAAAAACATGGGAAGGACCTAGGCCAGAAGATCTCTGTTTTTCCCGTCTGCGAATGTAACGAGCTCTGCTTGAAGCAGCAGCAAGATGCTGCATAATACGCTCATCCAAATCAGAGTCATCTGAGAAAGAGTCCTGAAAATTCAATTTTTTTCGTCAATGAAAGACCCGTTCTCAACGAGGAATAATTAAGCGTTACAAATTTATTATATGTCACTAAGATCTTACGTGCTCAACATCAAAGTCCTCACAGGAATGTTGAAAAGTCTGGGGGGCCATGGAAGATATTTTTCTGGAACTTGAGCGCCTCTCATTTTGTACAGCATCTAGAAGCCCTTGACTACACCACAAAATAATTAATTGAAACATAGCAGAAAGAAATCAAGAAGTGACGCATGCATGAATTTGAGAAGATTCCATACCAAGCAGGATCCTTCAAGACAAGTAACTGCCAACAAATTGGGCATTCTTTACTTCTTTGTGACCTAAAGGAAGATCAAGATCAATAAGAAAAAAAAAATCATTCTCACAAAAGAAATACTCAATCACAACTTACATGGCTGGAGGACAAAATTAATGTATTACTTGGCAAGATAAATAAGACAAAACCCATACATAAAGTAAATTGGGATTACCATTCTAAAATACAGTGAAGATGATATTCATGTTTGCAGCTGGTAATCTGAAACAAGAAGAAATTCTAAGAGTTAACACTCAGTTTAACATCTGAACCTACGAGTTACTGTAAGCTAGCTACAACACTTTCAGACAAAGCATGTATTTTGCAACAAGGGATGTCTAATATCCATCGTATGCTTCAGTGATCCTCTATACGATATCCAGTTTTTGCAAAATAGAATGATCACAATCATCAGAGCACATCCTCATATCACCGATGACTTCTTTTTACAAGGAATAAATATTATTGTTGCCATACAATCAGCAAATAGAATGAAGTGCAAATGGGTCTCAAAAACACATTCCAAAACTAAGCGCATTCCTACCGTTTCATTTCCATTTAATCCCACAAATGAATCCTAAAGATTGAGTTGAAAAATAATCTATTTTACTCAAGCAGGGGAGGTGAAGACTAAATTTCAAATGCGTTTTGATAATAACATATCAATCCATGCATCCAGAACAGAATTTCAAAGAAACACAAGATTACAGATTATCCCATATCGAATATTTTCCAGAGAAGCCAATGGAGCTTAAAATTATACTGAAAAACACATCCACCAAAACTGACAATAGATAGATCGCAGTTTATTTCAGCTACCAGAAAGAAGCAAACAATCAGCTAATAATCCAAAAGCAACTGTAAGAACATAAAATCAGAGTTTTTTCAACTGTGCCAGTACCACATGTAATTTAAATTTCAACATTATGATCAGCACTACAAGACTGATACAGTGAGACTGTCAGTTGGGTATGCATAAACTACTGAGTTCTACAAAAATACAAAAAATTTCAGTTATTAAAGGATCATACAGTGGCTGGGTCATCGCAGTTGAAAGGCTCAAGGCAGATACTGCAGGAGTCTTCATAGCTGTCATCAACAACATCTGGAGAAGAAAAAGATAGAGCTGAAACGGGTTTCGGATTCAGGGAAGAAGAGGGAGCGAAAGAGGCCATTTTGAACAGTGTACTAAACGAGAGAATGTGGACACAGAGAACGGTACAGAAGGAGTGACTTTATGAAGGAGGAGAAGAATGATTGTGGATGAAGAAGAAGAAGAAAGGAACCCTAGAAAAGTGCTGCAAAGAGAGAATGAAAGAGTAAAGGGTCAAAGTAAAGAATTTTAGGAGGAGAAAGATGAAAAGTTCAGAAAACTCAGCAATTTAACCGATTCACACGCTTTGGTTTTGATGGAATCAAAACTCAGTTCGCATTTATATAATCTCTAAATTTCTTTTGATCTCTTTTTATCATTTGCTCCTTTAGTTTTGGATTATTGTTGGCAAGGCAAGCCAGCAACCGCTAGTTTGCAGTTTTCTTACCAAAAACTAAACAAGAAATAAACTTTTTAGCCTTTAATGCCATTGCCAGGTTGAAGCCTTAAATATAATCAATAAGAAATATTCTCAACCAATTAGCAATTTTTATTTTTATTTTGTTGATACAACTAATATTCCACTTTAATATAATCTAAACTACGAGAAGGAAGATTCAAATTCGGAGCAAAATACGGTGCACATCCGCACTAGTCAACTTAACCAAGTCCACGTCTGCCTCTAGCAATTATCAATAATTTGGTTGAAAATCGTTTTTAGGTTTTATCAACTTTTTGCATTTTCCATCTAAATAAATTGAGCTAAAGTAAACTAAAGTCTGACAAAGAAATGACAAATGGCAAGATACATCTCATGAAAAGTAAGTATGGTTTCTTTTATGCCATTATTGGTGAAATCTATAATCAAGTAGCACACCACCTAACTCATCAAAAGAAACAAAAGAAGGTGCATTACTTGAACTGAAAAATGCAACTTTCCTATACCTAAAGGAAAAAAGAAAAATCGTAAAAAAATATAAAACACCTAATTCATGTAAGTTGTTGGCACATTCTAAATCAAAGTATTTTTTATATGAGGCTTTTTTAACTTTCTAACTATCCAAAGCAATATTTAAACTTGCATGACATGCGTTTTTGGGTGGCAAAACGAGATTTTTGCAAATAAGAAGCACTTTAGAAGAAATGCAGAAAAGTATAAGGGCCATAACGAAAAGGTCCAATTATGTTAGATTTGATTACAAGCTTCGATAGAACTCGTCATTGGATTGACCGTCCAACAACTCCACCCATACGGCTTCAAACTGACGTGGATCTCTCTACCGGCAAAAGGTTCCATTGGATTGATTTTGTAAGAGTTGGAGATGTTGAGTGCAAATTGTTAGATAACACTTTGCTGATGATTTCTTTTCTTTTCTTTCTAACACACGATCAAGGTGTCATCATGGACGTATCCATGATTTTAAAATGAACGGGCCTGGATTTAACTTACCAAAAAACTCGACTGCGCGAGCGAATTTCATTGATAACAAAAAATGATACACCTAATCAAAGGATATAATGAGTTGTATACCTCAAAATGCATATAATATATAAAATAGAAACTAATTTAATAAAAATAATAATAAATAAACATCCAAAATAAAAAAAAAAAAAAAAAAAAAAGATAAAAAAAAAAAAAAAAAAAAAAAAAAAAAAAAAAAAAAGGAAAAAATAAATATTTAAGTTGCACCTTTTAAGGCTTCAAAGAGTTAACATCACCAATTAGAAAGATTCTTCAATAAATATTTTATGTTAAGAGCATCCACAATGGGGTTCCTAAACCACTTCCTCAGACAAATTTTAGGGAGGAATTGGATAAATACAACTCCAACCATGCTCCATATTCACCTCCTAAAATAGAGAGACCTCTAGGAGCTCCCAAATCTGATGAGAGAGAAAAGACTCCTAATAGCTCCCTATAATTTAATACTGCTTTATTTAATGAGTATTTCAAACCTTAAATTAATGCTAACTATTTTTTATATTATTTTTTAATAGAGATGGACCAATTGAAAAAGAGTTATAGCATTTATGACTTCATAAATTAGAGAGCATGATTGAGGTTTAAATTTTATAGAGATCTCCTAAAATAACTTTTATATGTTTTTAGCTAAAATTTAACTAAGAAATAGAGAGCATGATTGTGGATGCTCAGGGTTAGTTACATACGGCTCTTGAATTGCATTCATTAAAGGGGGTGTATTCAATTGTGATTTTAATGGATTGTTTTGAAGCTTAAAAGTACGACGGTATTCAATTAGGATTTTTAAGTAATCAATAAAAATCTGGTGGTATTCAATTAGGATTTTTAAACAATCAATACAAGTTCGGTAGTATTCAATTAGGACTTTTAAAAGATAAGAAAAAGTATCGTGATATTAAAAAACTTACTAATTTTGATGTATTGTGTGAGACTTTTGAGTGTGTGATATAAATACCAAATCTCATCTTCCTATGCATGATTCTCATATATGCTCTCATACTTTTTTTTTTTCCCACTATTTTTGTATGCTTTCGACTATACATTAAAAAAAAAACATTTCATAAAAGAGACAATAAAAAAACATTAACAAGAAAGATGATATTGCCACTTATGGAGCTAATGGGCATTTTCCAATAGCTCTTCTTTCCTTGTAGACAAGTTTATTTGGAGCAAAACTATATTTTCGATACTTTTTTTTTTTAGAATCTCCTGCTCATTGTAGACATTTCCTCGCAATGAGTTACAACCCTCCACAACTCTACCGGTGTGCCCATAAGTTGCTTGATCTAATGCCTCAAAGAGGCTTTAAATATATATATATATATATATATGCGTAGCTGCTGCACATACAACGCACATGGCTAAATATTTTTTCAAATTCCCTGTCCCAAAACGTTTGGGACCAGGACAAAACAAAAAAAGAAAGAAGAAGCCTTACCCATAATCTAGAAGAAACGTTGATAAGGTGCAATGTGTTTTTTTCACTCCACAGTTTTGGTCCAAGCTTTGACAAAAACTAGGAGTAGTCATGGGGTTGGGCTTATATTAACCCTAAAAATTGGGTATCTGTGTCCTAAAAATTGGGTATATTCCTTCAGGTTATGTATTTAGGTGAATGATGATGGGTTGTAGAATTCAAGCTTGTATAGAAATATACGTAAAATCATGTAATTGCAATCTATTAAAATCATAAGTAAAATCTTAAGTGAATTAAAATCATAAGTAAAATCTTAAGTGAATTAAAATCATAAGTAAAATCATGTAATTGTAATATATTAAAATCATGAGTAAAATCATATAATTACAAATCCGGCTGAAATATATTACATTAAAATCATGTAATTACAATATATTGAAATCTCAATTGAATACACCCCCCAATGCGTTGGTAGTTTCTTATATACAATTCAACGGCCGAAATTAGAAGTATGTAAATCAATTCTTAACTTAAATGCTTATTGGAGAATGTCGTCACTATTCATTAATGAATATTTAAATGAATATTTATTTTTTTTTTTTTTTTTTTTTTTTTTTTTTTTTTTTTTTTTTTTTTTTTTTTTGTTTTTAGACTACATGATATTTAAGAGTCAAAATAATTTATATCTAACATGAAGTTCGAACTTGAGACATTTTCTATCGGGCTAGACGCGTTGGTTTCATAATTACTTTGGCATACGCATACCTTACCTATATAATCGAAGAGATAATAACGCTAAAATAGTCTGAACTGAGAGACTGGAGTGTTACTCTGGCAATGGCAACGGCTACACTTTCAGCTACTCAGCTTCTCCCTCTGTCACTTCCTAAACCCTCTCAAAAACCCCGTCATGCCAATTTTCCCTTTCAATCCTTAAACCCTAGCCCTAGACTTTTCTCCTCCAATGGCTTCGTATCCAACTGTAGCCCAATACAGGCACTTCTGAACTCCACACCTATCACCACCGAAGCTGGCTCCGAACCAGAACCCTTCACCCTCCGCCAAATTGCCAATCCCACGTGCCCGACCACGTGCTCTGCAGAATGGAGGAACTGGGATTCGTTGTACCAACGCCCGTACAACGGCAAGCTCTGCCGACGCTGTTCTCGGGCCGCGATTGTATTCTTCACGCGCAGGTCAAATTCGTATACCCTTTGATTTTTTAGATGTTTAGGTGTGTTTTTGTAACCAAGTTTGAATCTTGCCGTGAATTTTGGTCCTCTAGACAGGTTCTGGGAAGACGCTGACATACCTGCTTTTGGTGTTTTCTATTGTGAACGCTCGAAGATCAGCTGTTCAAGCTCTCATTGTGGTGCCCACTAGGGAACTTGGCATGCAAGTAAGATTTTAAGACTTTGATTCTCTTGTGCAATTTTACATTGGTTGTATTTGCATCGTATGGTATGATATGGTTATGATCATTTCCTCTAAGTGAGTTGAACAAGATGACTCTATGTATGTGCAAGGTTACAAAGGTTGCTCGGATGTTGGCTACGAAGCCTAAGGAAGACGAATTGGAGCAGAAATCCTGTACTGTTATGGCTCTTTTAGATGGAGGAATGTTGATGAGGCACAAGAGTTGGTTAAAGGTGCTGCATTCTAGTCTATTTAGTTTTCTTTAAGTTTTTCTCCATTTATAGTTATGGACTAGATACTAACAATGTTAACATGATATCGAAAAGAAATATTGTACTTGTATGATGAGCTTTATTCGGTGGTTCAATGTTTCAGGCGGAGCCCCCTACTATTGTGGTGGCAACGATTGGGAGTTTGTGCCAAATGCTTGAGAAGCATATGATTAAGCTTGAAGCAATGCGAGTGCTGGTAATTGATGAGGTAAACTGGAACGCATTTTGGTGTTTAATTGTTCCTTAGCTATTTCTTGTGGCTTCGATTTTGAAATTTCAACTCTATGTGGAAGCTGGGACATTCTATGAGTAGAATGATATGTTTTTTAAAAGGTTATTCAAGGTTGTCTGAAAATGATTCTTGAATAAACTAATGTCTTATATTCACTGTTTGGTTAGGTTGATTTCATGTTCAGTTCCAAACAAGTCAGTTCTCTTCGGAAGCTTTTGACTTCCTATTCGTCAATCAATACCCGTCAGACGGTTTTTGCCAGTGCTTCCATTCCTCAGCACAAAATCTTTTTAGATAAGTGTATACAGCAGAAATGGACCAAGGTTTGCTGATATAGTTCTTGTTTCCATGTCACCTTTATTTGGATTTCATACAATGCTGCCTCTAGTTTCTTGTATTTTGCATAACAGTATGTATGTACTTTACAGAATGATGCAATTCATGTCCATGTCAATCCAGTTGAGCCTATGCCATCATGTTTACATCATAGATTTGTGGTAAGAAAATTCTTAAAACATGTAATCTACTCCATTCTGTTTTCTGGTTTACCTGTCACTAAATCATGTTATAATCCTGCTTTTTCTGTACTTTTGTCACCATTTATCCTCTTTGAGATTGTATAGGAGCATCTATGTTCTTAATGATATTCTAATTCTGTTCATACTTAACAGATATGCCTAAAAAACAGAAGGCATGAGACCTTGTTGTCCTTGTTACAGTCTGATGCACCACAGTCTGCTATTGTTTTTGTTGGTGAGCAGGTTTGCATCACATATCCTTCTATGTGATTTTATTTTTCATGATCTTGTGCTGAAGCTGGGTTCAAATCTGATTTGAACTTAAGTATTTTGTAGTTGTATTAATTATTTACCCAGAAAGTAAACCTCTAATAAGATGTCACTTAGACATAGTTCATATATGACAAGGACTGAGTTAAAGATATGTATTTAAAACTTACAATCTGTAAGTTTTGATATAATATAAATTTGTTTTTTCTTGTTCCTTACAATTATATAGATGGGTTCTCCATTCTATTAATATATAAGTTTTTATTTATTTGGTCAGTCTGAGAAGTCAAAAAAGGCTGGAAATGCTCCGTCAGCAACTCTATTAATTAATTTCTTGAAGGCTTCATATGAGGGATATTCAGACATCCTTCTTTTGGAAGAAGACATGAATTTCAATTCACGAGCAGCTTCTCTGTCTGTAAGTTACATGTTTTTCTCTTTTGGTCTGAATCAGTAAATCGTGTTCAATTCCGCTTAAGTAGTATTAGTTATATTTGATTGTTTTATGAATTTATAGTCATATGGGATCAACTTTGAGGCTACTCAAGGTAATGCCATCTTTGGAAAAGCAGACGTATGATAAGGGCAGGTCTTAAAAATGTTAAAAATGGTCATTAGATTTTGAATTTTCAGATACGGGCAATTAATTCTTTGCAATTGTATAGCTGAGGGGACAGACAAGTGATAGAAACTGAGATGGACACCCAAAGTGTTGGGTGTGAAAACCTCAAACAGAGGGTTTAGAATCAATATTCTGTTTTCAATATTCTGAGTTGCCTTTTAAAAGCATCCAAAGTTTCCAAATACGCTACCATTTACTATTGGTCTTTAGTATGCAATCCTTTTCATGTTGAAATCTTCTGATGGGTCTATTTACTTAACTTAGGAAGTGAGACAAGGAGGCAGCTATCTTCTTGTATCAACAGATATAGCAGCCAGAGGGCTTGACTTGCCAGAAACTACTCATATATACAACTATGATCTGCCAAGAACTGCTATTGATTATCTTCATCGAGCTGGAAGAACAGGTAGAAAACCGTTTTCAGACAAGAAATGCTCTGTTACAAGCATTATAATCTCAAAGGAGCGGTTTGTTTTGGAAAAATATGAAAACGAATTGATGTTTAACTGCGAAGAGCTAATTGTGTAGAATCAATGTTAATCTCAATCTGTATAGAATGCCCCTTCCTTTCAATCTGTTTCAGTCCATTTTACTTTGAAATCCAGAGCTATGGTGGAATAAGTGTCGCTTTCCTTATGGAAGGGGGATCACACAATGAGAAAGGGGTAAAGTTAAAGAACAATTCTGTATGAGGAACCACAAAGTAATTACAAATGCTTTATATGACCAGAAAAATGGCCATAAAATGGCAATTGAACAGGGACAAGAATGTGAAATTCTGTACATGTTATGATTTTTGGATCCGCATTGCTTATCAATCGATGATGCTTTACAGCATTTGCTGGCGTTCAATCAGTCCTTTTTTCTTAATCCTCAGGTTTCATAAAAAGTATAAATTTCTGCATCCTCAACATATACACTGTCTTAACTGTTGATGGACAAGATTGTCCTCTCCAACAAGGCCATGGAAAGATTGGATGAATTGCACAAGTCATTTGATGTACACACTTACTCAATTTGAATGAACCGTAAATTGTTATTGAAAGTTGATTTTCACAATTAGCTAGCAAAATATAGTTGCTTAATGTACTTGATAAACAAGGTTTATACACATCCGCATCATAAGAGTGTCTTGCTCTACTGACATGAGTATACATGGTGATTCACATTGCATTCTCTCTTTTAGTTCCAATCCATCCTAATATACCCAAAAATTAAAAAGGATGGAGGGATAGTTCAGATCACAAGTCCATCTATGATGACTGAATTTTTCAATATGATGGTTACACCTGATCGGATGTAAAACCCTTCAAAAGATCTGTCAGCCTCCTGTACGCCCTGCAATTCCACGCATAAACACAAAGTACAAGTTAGACTAACACAAATTATATCTTATAAGCTCATCTGGTAAAAGGTTTAGCCTGGTTGCAACTTGCACCAGAAGGCTGCTGAGAACTGAGACTTCAAAAATCATATAGAAACGTTGAATTTTCCACCTTCCTAGCAATCAAATTGCTCGTTTTTATTATCTGTATGTAATTACTAGGGAGAAAATTATACCTCTGAGTTGGCAATAACAACATTCTTGCCGATTCTTGCATTTTTGTCAATGATGCAGTCTCTGCACATAACATCAAGAACCATGAGAGCAAGAAGTTATTTAACATTTATAACTTACAATATTTGTGGAGGTTCAAGGAGCCTGTACTTGATTTTTGTGTTCTCTCCGATTCCAACAGGAACTCTTCCTTCAGCTAATAGTGATGCCACTTCAGCATCGGTTTCATAGTAATCAGCACCAAGCATTACTGTGTCCTGCATGCATTTTGCCAATCATAACAGTATAGACACCAGTTTGAATTACTCATTTGGGTTATTTCATTAACAACTTGAGCTTAATATTCTCTGGAATTTATGGGACAAACCTTTAAGTGAACATTTGAGTTTATTCGAGATCTGATACCGACAACACTGTGCTCTATAAAGCTATCAGTTATGAAACTTCCATGTGATATGATGGAGTCAACGATCTGCACAAGTGGGCAGAATGTTACATAATGCAGTTATCTGTGCTTGATTGTACGAGGATGTTCCTGATTTTTATCAGGATGATCATGTGTTTCAACACCTTATCCCAGTTAGCTTGCAGCAGGGATAAATTTTACGGGCAATGATGTAACTTCTTGAAACTAAGCTCACGAACCTTGCTGTTGTCAATCTTTGATGGAGGCAAGTTTCTTCTTGAAGTATATATCGGCTTTGCTGCATCGTAAAAACTGAACTTGTTTGGCTGAAAGACGCAAAAATGAAGCATTAGATTCATCTGTGACAGCGAAAGCTTATTTTCCTTTTGCAAAAGGAACATTAGAAGGGTGAGCATTGCAAATTTATTAAAGCATTTATTGTCGCTTCCCCATCTTGCTTCGTACTTACATGCTCAGTGAGGGCAAGGTTTGCCTCAAAGAAGGATCTGATGGTCCCTATGTCTTCCCAGTAATCATTGAACAGATAAGCCTGCACAGAGGTTTTTCACAAAGGAGCATCATGGAATGCTGAAGTGGATAGCAAGGTTAGTGAGTTCAAAATTTAGACTATTGACCTATACATGCATGCCTTGTTAACCTGTATATCTCTAGACTAAGCTTAAGCAAACATATAACATCCTCAGACAGAGATCTGATACGGACCTTAATGAAGAATTCTTTAGCTGAGGCGGGGATTATCTCTGATCCAAAGTCATTTGCAGTCGGAAAACGCCATCTGACTCAAATAGTTAGTGTATTTTTCTCAAATTTCTTTAATGCGGGTTGTGATTGTGTTGTGCTTATGTATGTTCATGTGAATCAAACTAATATTACAATTTGTAATTCGTAAATAACTACGCATGATTAGCACCTTAAAATATTCAGAAGTATCTCCTTCTTGAAGACATACACTCCCATGGAAGCAATGTATGGTTTCTTTAGAGCCTCCTCCACAGAAAGTCCCAAAACGGTTGTATCTACTGCCTAATGTTTGTAGCAAAATGAGCATATAAGTATTCATATACCTATGCCAGTTCAAATAATAGTAATAGCTTAAGAATGAGTATTACCATTGCCTTCAGGTCGTCCCCTTTAGGTTTTTCTCTGAACGATAGGACCCGTCCTTTCTTGTCTATCTTCATTAGACCAAAATCTGAGGCTCGGCTATCATGGAAAGAGTAGAGAGGAAAGTTTCAAAGGGTTGATGAGCAATAGACCATTGTGATCAGAGTTGAAAAACCAATGCACTCATACATAAGAGAATATTACCACTAATAATTTCAAGCCAGTATATTATGAATATTGATATGAATTTCATAGTCAATATTTTACGAGGAAAATTCAAGAGGTTTCTTTGGTAAAATGAATACAGTACCTGTCATCCATCGGCAAACAAGAAATGGTAATATCTGCGCCACTCTGCCTATGATTCTGCAAATTAATTGAGAGGTAAGTTTTGATAATTGAGAATTGGCCTTTTGAATTCTTTTCAGTGAAGCAAAACTAACGGTTCTGTCTTACTTGAACATAGTCCAAGTAGTCCATTCGATACAAATGATCACCAGACAGGATCAGAACATCCTCAATATCCTTGCTTCTTGCATCCTGCGGCATGAAAAGCATTGGTGTAAATTATGATAAATCCAATTTTTAGACCACCTCGCTCAAATGATTTGCTCGGTTATGCAAAGAAGAATCAAAAAGGGGGACTGAAGCATGGAAGGGTCACTTATGACAACCTTGTTATTTGAAAATATCAGGTTGGTCATTTACGTATTTTCAAACTGTCAATTGGGAAGGATATTTTTTGACTTTCTAAATATGCGCAAATGAAACAGGTTATAAAGTATCCTATTTGTTGGAAATAAACCATTGGAAAGGGGGAAATAAAGAAAAGTATTGATGCACCATCAATTTCCATCTTTTTGTTAAGGTAAGAAACTCAAGGGCTAACTACTTCAGAAAAAAAACCTCCGCGTTATTAATTCTTGTTTTAAATGCGTACTCCTTAATGACTCTTTCTCTTCAATATATATAACCTGATAGCTGGTTTCTTTTTCTAAAGAAAAATGGCCAAGATCTCTATCCCTCTGTACTTTTTCCTAATCCTACTGGCTTTTGGGCTTGTCAATGGTTCTTTAGGAAAGGAAAAGATTGGGACATATGAACTTAAGAAAGGAAACTTCTCTGTGAAGCTTACTAACTGGGGTGCATATATCCTATCTCTCGTTGTCCCTGAAAAAGGTGGAAAGTTGGCTGATATTATCCTCGCGTTCGATTCAGTCAAGGATTACATCAATAGTTCCTCACCCTTTGGAGCCATTGTTGTGTTGCTAACAGAATTCGCGGTGCTGCATTTACTTTGAATGGAACCCGTTACAAACTAGTTGCTAATGACGGCAAAAACACGATTCATGATGGTCCAAGAGGGTTCAGTCGTGTTATTTGGAAAGTGAAAAGACATGAACAAGAGAGTGCTAATCCTAGCATCCAATTCTCCTATCACAGCTTTGACGGTGAAGGAGGATTTCCAGGTGATATCCTTGTCACTGTGATGTACACACTCACAGGAAACAAGCAGTTGATTGTAACAATGAAAGCCATAGCTCTGAACAAGCCTACTCCAGTGAATCTAGCCCAACATGCTTTCTGGAACCTAGGTGGCCACAATTTTAGCGACATATCACACCAGCAAATAGCCAGCTTATACCAACAGGTAAAATTGCACCAGTGAAACAAACACCTTATGATTTCAGCTCACCTCAGACCATTAAAAGCAGGATCAAGAAACTGCCAAACGGTTATGATATCAACTATGTGCTTAATGGTTACAAGGGTGACAGAGTACTGAAAAAGGCAGCTGTGATGCATGAAAAGAAATCAGGAAGAGTGTTGGAGTTGTAGACAGATGCTCCTGCCATGCAGTTCTATACCGTGAAAAATTTGAAGGGTGTTAGGGGAAAAGGTGGATATGTTTATAACAGTCATGCAGGACTACGTTTGGAGACTCAAGGCTTCCCTGATGCAGTGAACCACCCCAATTTCCCTTCACAAATTGTGACAAGAGGAAAGCCTTACACACATTCTAAGTTGTTCAAGTTTACAACTTCTCCATAGCTTGGTGTTAAGCAGTTCAGATTCTTCTGTCATTGATGTGCATTGACTTTTTCTTAAAGAAGCATAAGAAACAAAGAAAACATTCTGAAAAATTGTTATCTGTTTAATGCATTCCTGTATTTTTTTAGTACCTCGAAAAGCCAATGGAACTGCCGCACGGCGTCTGCAGTACCCTGGAACCACTTCTGGCCTGCCGCTCCTGGAGTTTGAGTTGCTGCTAGAACCTGGCATGGAGCACAAGAGCTATAAGTGACATTGCAGAACATACATTGTCATAAATATAATTTATAAATGCAGAGAGGCTAGACTCTTTATGTGGTTTGTGCAACATTTTGTTAAAATTACTTGATGATTTTGTTCAAACATATACCTCTACATAGCCGTCGCCAAAGCTGGTGCCACTGCCAAAGTTGTAAGCGCGGGAAATATGCCTGTTGAGTGATGTTGAGTTGAACTGAGTGAGGATATAAACTTTGTTGATTCCACTGTTGATGCAGTTGCTCATTGGCACATCAATCAGCCTGTATGCTCCCCCTATTGGGACCTAAAATGCAGAAACAGTAGTAAAACCAATCCACTCCATTTCTGTGTCTGAGGACTTGAAACCCAACAGAATTCAGAAAAGAAAAAAACCACAAATAGGATTGAGTTTTAACATTGTTTTATCAACTGCCGTAAAATGCCATTACAGGAGAAAGAACTTCCATGCAACGGAGATTTCACTGTAGCGGAATCTCAAACCAATTACGCACTTCATATGAAAAAATTAGAATGTGTGACAATACGTGATTAGTTTGAAATTTGTCACAGTGGCATCTGATGTAGGTAAGTTTTGTGAAGTTGAGAGACTTACAGCAGGTTTGGCACGCCTCTTGGTGAGTGGGAAAAGCCGAGTACCAGCTCCACCTCCCAGTATGATCGCAACAACTGTCCGTGGGTCCCGCTTCTCTATATCTATGTCCCTCAACTGTTAGATGCACCCAAGCCCGTATATCAAAGTCCATATATTATCATGTGCATATTTAATTGGGCTAGTATTATTATACCATGGGCTTCTCATCAAATCAAAGCCCAAACTATTTTTTTTTGGTGCTTTAATCCATTTCGCATTTTAATGGTGTAAGTTAAATTTCTTCATTTTGAATTCATCTCCATTAAAAGCACCGTTTCGTGTACGAATTTAATGTGGTTCACTTCTTTAATCAATTAATTTCGAATCGAGCTTAAAATTTGAAAATATCATTATATAGTGGGAGAAGATTTTTTTTACTTCCCTGAACATAACAACTCTCCTCTTATAAAAGGATGGATGCTCATATTAACTGATTGAAAAATAAATAATTGATCTTGTAAGATTTTAGAATTAAAATGCTACCTTTTGGAATTTGATGTGGTGGTGGGGAAAAAAGAAGTTAAAAATATCATATATATATATATATATAAATCATATATGCAATGCAAATAGTAATGCTCATGACTATTCAAATTATGTTTTAGGGACATTCATAATCTGCATGCAAATTGCAATGCATGTATGTTTTAGGGACAGTATGCATGTAGTGAGTTTGGAAAGGCTCACCTTGGCCTCGCCAACTGGCACATCGGTAGTGAGAGACATGCAAACATGTTTCCCAACCCCACCGTTCTTTTTAACATTAGCAGCTCCAAGCTGAAGCTGGGTCAGGTTCAGCTTCTTCCCCATCAAGTCTCCGTTGCAAAACTTCACAACCCTCTGGCTTCTCCCAGAAAACCCGGCAGCCCCACGCAGTTGGCTGGGGGCGGAGAGTGAAATCCGGCAATGATCAGCCGACACTGCCATTTTTGGAATTTTAATTCCAAGGAGAAGATTGGAAATGCATAAATGGAAAGGTTGTATATATGAGGAAGAGAGCAACAGAGCTCTGTGTTTACATGGTATGCTTTTGCTAGCTATTGGAAGATTGGGCCACGTTATCCAGACTAAATTGCATCCACCGGTTGCATATTGTGTTTGTCTTATTCTACTCACAAAGGAGAATTGAAATTACAGATTAGTCCTCCTACTTTGCTGGGAATTTACGAATCAAAGAATATGCTATATAGAGGCTGCCTCGACTCCACCCGAGATTTTTGTGCACGTAGGCAAGTTGTAACAAAATAATACGAACACATAATCCACAAATGTCACATTAGAAGTTGCAACTCATTCTTCTATTTTTCGTGAGTGATACTTTCCCCAAAACTGAACTGGAGTCCCTTTCCCATATGAAAGATTTTGAACTAGTGCAAAAATGCAATGAAATATAGAGCTGAAATTTTGTGGAAGGCTTTCTTTCTGCCCATGAAGAAATAAATTTTCATCTTTTTGCTTCATCAAAGATTAATTAGTTTTTTTTCACACAGGCTTTCTTTCTTCCATTTTATACTACCCTTATAATAAGGTCAATTTGGAGAAAAGAAACCATCAATGGTGTGTTTACTAATCAGAAATTGGAATTCTCATCAAAAATTGAATTCCATCTATGGAGGATTCCTGTGTTTACTTCACATTAAGGAATTAAAAAGTAACTGGGGCTCACAAAAAATTAGGAATTGAATTCTTGATTTTGGAGGAATTCAATTATAAGGTGGGAGTCGGTATTTTAATTCCTAGAGAACTAACCTATTAGGAATTCATCTTTTTTACCCATTATATTCTCACACAATTTTAAAATTTTAAAATTTGCCATATACTTTAACCCAACAATGAGGACATTTTAGTAATTAGCATCATCCTACCCCAATTCCATATGATTTAGTAAACAACTTCAATATGAGTCCAGAATCTAACTCCCATCAATCCATATAGTTTAGTAAGCAACTTCAATAGGAATCCCGAATCTAATTCTCCTCAATCCAACTCCTCCCCAATTCAATTCATCCTTAATTTAATTCCTCATAATCCAATTACATATTAGTAACATGACACAAGTAGCCACTTGTCATTTCATAATGACTTAATTACTGTTTTACCCCATGGAACCAAAGCTTGGTCTCACTTTACCATATGAAACTGTGATTTTCACACTTGACCTGCAAAATCTCTAAAAATTGATGAAATTTTTACCACTTACGTCCATTTCAGTCCACAAAACCATTAAGTGTGCTGATGTGGCATGGGTATTTTTGTAATTTTAGCTCCTCTCTCCTCTCTCTTTTTTCTCGTCTATGCCTCGCTCTCTCTCTCTCTCTCTCTCTCTCTCTCTCTTCAACCATACCCAACAAAAGCAAATACCCAAATATTTGAGCAAGAGTCATAGATTATAATCCTTGAATCTCAAAGTGCTCATGGGTGTTAAGAATAAGAACAAGGAAGTAAAGAACTCAAACGCAAGAACTGGATTGAATGACCTTTTATTGAACATCAACCTTTGGCTATTATATAGCCCTACATGAACTAACAAACAGCTGAAATACAGCTCACGATTCACACTAACAGAAATGTGGTAATGTGCATAAGGAAAGAGTCAAAAACAGTAAAACAAGTCTCCCTACATAGTAGGGACTGATTTGAAACATAAAACAAACCTAAATATCTGAAAATCCTATAGTACTAAGGAATCTCAAACTCGTCATTCCCTCTCTTAAACTAACTGCCATCAAACATTTAGTTTACATCAGCAATCTCACAAACTCCCAACAAACTTCGAAGCTTTTGAAACGCATCAACCTTTAGTGGTTTGGTCATTACATCTGCTACTTGATCATCACTCCCACAATGAAACAAAGCAATCGAACCCTTCTTTGTAAGATTCCTCAAGAAATGGTACCTTACATCGATATGTTTGCTACGACCATGCATCACAGGATTCTTTGAAAGCTTAATGGTTGAGCTATTATCACACTTGATATGAGTATAGACTTCATCACCATGCCCGAGCTCCTTCAATACCCTTTTTCATCCAATTTGCTTGACACGCACACACTACAGCTGCTACAAACTCTGCTTCCGTAGTAGATAGCGTAACAATTGGTTGTTTTTTTGAACTCCATGATACAACACTAGAACTCAGCAAGAACACATAGCCACTTGTACTCTTCCTATCTTTCATATCTCTTGCATAATTACTATCTGTGAAAGCAAGCAATTTACCATCTCCACCTCTCTTGTAATGAATGCCATAATTCACAATCTCTTTTAGATATCGAAGAGCTCTCTTCGCAGCTTGTAGATGAAGCTCAATTGGTTTTGCCATATACCTGCTTATGAGGCTGGTGACAAACATCATGTTTGGTCTCGTGGTAGTAAGGTACGTCAAGCTTCCTACCAATTGCTTGAAGTACGTCTCATCCACAGTGATTTCATCTTCATCTTTACTGATCATAAAGCCTAGAATAATTGGACTATTCACCTCATTACTTTCTAGCATCCCAAATCTTTTTAGAATTTCCAGTGCATACCTTTTTTGACATATAAAGATACCATATGCTCTTTGAAGTACTTCAATGCCAAGGAAAAATCTCATGCTTCCCAAATCAGACATATCAAATTCTCTTAACATATAACTCTTGAATTCAGACATCATATCCTCATCATCACCAGTAAAAATTAAATCATCAACATAGATACTTACAATGATAATCTGTCCTTCTCTGTTCCTCTTTGTAAACAAAGTTTGCTCAATGTCACACCTCTGGAAGCCTTCATTGATGAAATATGCTTCGATTCGACTAAACCAAGCTCGTGGAGCTTGTTTTAATCCATACAAAGACTTGTGTAGCTTATAGACCAAATGCTTCTTGCCTTTCTTCTCTAACCCCTTGATTGCTCAATAAACATTTTCACTTAGCTTTCCATGAAGGAATGCTGACTTGACATCCAATTGAAAAATCTTTCAACCATTTTGTGCTGTCAAAGTAATGATCGTTCTTACTGTGTCCATCCTTGCCACTGGTGCAAAGACCTCTGTGTAATCTATGTCGTGCTTCTGTGAGTAGCCTTTGGCTTCTAAGCGTGCCTTATGCTTGTTAATCTCCCCATGCTCATTGTACTTGGTCTTGTAAACCCACTTGACACCGATCTTTTTAGCTCTAGCAGGCAACTCAGTTAATGTCCATGTCTTGTTCTTTTCAATGGAGTTGATCTCACTGTCCATAGCTTGTCTCCACTTCACATTCTTCACTGCTTCTTCAAGATGAAAATGATCTTCAGTTGCCACAACTTGTGCCATGTGTACCTCGTCTTCACCCAAACTTTCTCCACTAACATAATAGTACAAATAAGGAGGAGGATGTCTCACTCTCCCTTCGTTCACTTTCCCTTCATTCTCATCAGGCCCATAAGGATTTCCTACTTCTCTACCCCATGCTTCTTCATTGCCCTCACTATCACTTCTTTCCCCTCTATCACCATTGCCATCTTCATCTTCATTTTCACTCACCCTCTCTTCACCCTCATTGTTTTCTTCATTCTCTCCCCACTCCAAGTCTAACAAGATTTGCACCTCAAAATTCACTCCAAATCCCACTGCTTTTCTTCCTAAAAAATAATATCTTTACTCACAACAATTCTTCTAGTTATAGGATCAAACAATCTATACCCCTTGGACTCCTCACTAACTCCCAGTAAAACACAAGAAAAACTTTTATTATCTAATTTACCTCTTCTTACATTTGGAATGTGAACATGAGCTAGGCATCCAAAGACCCGAAAATGCTCAACTGAGGGCTTTACTCCACTCCACGCCTCTTGTGGTGTGACGATCTTCACTGCCAATGTCCGTCACCTATTCAGAACATAGAAAGTCCAATTCACAGCCTCATGCCAAAATGTTTTCGGAATCTTCTTATCAGACAGCATAGAACGGACCATATTCATCACAGTTTGATTTTTCCTCTCAGCTACGCCGTTTTGTTGTGGTGTATATGCAATAGTTAATTGTCTCTTGATTCCACTTTGTTTGTAAAAATCATTGAAGTCATTTAAAGTGAATTCACCCCCTCCATCTGTCCGCAAGCACTTGACAAACAACCCTTTCTCTTTCTCCACCATCTTTTTGAAAACCTTGAAGCAATTCAGTGCCTCACACTTTGCTATCAACATATACACCCATGATTTATGACTATAATCATCAATAAAACATAATGTGTACCTCTTGCCATTATTGGATTTAGGGGAAATATGCCCGCAAATGTTTGCATGAATGAGCTCCAATGGCTGAATTGCTATCCATGTACTTCTCTTTGGTATGTCATCTCGGTGTTGTTTGCCATTAATGCAATTTGTGCATGTTGTGTTTGAAGCTTAAAATTGGGGAAGTCCATGAACCATCGCAAGGTTCTCAAACCTTTGTAACTCAAGCGGCCATATCGTCGATGCCAAATGGAAGAGAGATCTTGAAGGCTTGTATGAAGACATCTTTCTGGCTGAGCATTTGTAGGGACTGGAGTCTGAGCTAGCAGTATAAACATTTTGTTTACACTCATCACAGTCTGAATAATCAAGTTCTTCGTCGGATGATAGATTTTACAGGCTCCCCCTTTAATCAATATCATCAAACCTCTTTCTTGAAGTTGTCCTATGCTCAAGAGATTATTTTTTAGCTTTGGAACATAGTACACTTCATGTACAACATGGTTAACTCCATTCAATAGCAGCTTCACATTTCCCTTTCCAACCACATTCATCCTACTATTGTTTCCCAATTTAACTGAATGTAGAAAACTCTCATCTAGATAAACATACCTCGATTTCCACACATATGATTGGAAGGCCTCGAGTCAAGGAACAATGCACCATTCCATTTGGAAATCATCTTCTTCTATATAATAGCCAAAGGTTGCACAAAATTTCCTTCGGAGGTCATCTTCTTCTCTCTCTCTCTCTCTCTCTCTCTCTCTCTCTCTCTCTATGTTTGGAAATCACTCAAAGCTATGGATTCTTTTTCTTAGGCCCAGTGGGGGCTCTGATGACTTTTTTTTATTGAACATCAACCTTTGGCTATTATATAGCCTTACATGAACTAACAAACAGCTTAAATACAGCCCACAATTCACACTAACAGAAAGTGGTAACATGCATAAGGAAATAGTCAAAAATAGTAAAACAAGTCTCCCTAAATAATAGGGACTTATTTGAAATAGAAAACAAACCTATCCTATAGTACTAAGGAATCCCAAAACCGTCAATGGGTTGGTCTTGGGAAGGGGTCAGTGGTGGTTGGGTAATAGGGAGAGGAAGAGAGTGAGGTCTGCGAGTAGGGGTGGGTTGAAGAGGGAAGTGAGCTTATGGGAAAAAATCCAATTGTGAGAGAAGTGGGGTTGCGAGAGGGAGTGTGGTGGCTGGGCTGAACCAAGTGCTTTAGGGATAGAGGTGACCAGAAAAGGAAGAAAGAGAAGACGGAGGTGAGGGCTGGTGAGCTAACAGGGAGCGAGGAAGAAATGGGTTTCTTAACCCTAAAAAAAATAAAAAATATTTAAAATTTATTTTTGATTTTTTAATTTGGATTTCAAAGTTTTTTAATAACTAATATTATGAAAATGCCAATGCCACATCAGCACACTTAACAGTTTTGTAGACGGAAATGGACGAAAGTGGTAAATATTTCATCAATTTTTAGAGATTCTATGGGTTAAGTGAGAAAATTTCAATTTCAAAGGGTAAAGTGAGACGGAGAGTTCGTCTCAGGGGTAAAATAGTAATTAAGCCCTTAATAATTGGTTCTTAGTGTTACCATTTGTTCATTTGAAAGTACAACATGGAGTTTTTCTAAAATATTAAAATGGGCATGTTTGTGAAAATCTCAGGACTAATAAAGAACTTAAAGCACCTCTATTACCAAGTGCATTATTGACCATTGGATTGGATGAGTTATCTCAAGGCTATAAAGGTGCATAAAAATTTGTGGTTTGATGTGTCTCCCATGATCCGTACTATACAAAAATTCATTCTACCATGTACAGTATGATATATTTACTAAAACACGTCACTCCAATCGAATCACATGTTAGTTTGAACAGAACTTTAATTGTAAATCTAGTAGCTATATTAACGTTAAGGGAAGACCAAAAAATTGATGCTATCGCTACAACTGTTTTTAATTCGTCATTCTATCAGGAAAAGTTGCTTGGAAAACTATCGGTCGCTTTATACAGCGACAAAATTATGAAACTTCTGACCAAAATGACCGGTTGTTTTTCCCAAAGCAACCGGTCGCTTTTCATAGACTCTAATATTTTTGAAAATCTCCAACATTAGCGCTACAAGCTAGTATTGAGATTGGTGAATGACGATGGGTGGGATAGTGCATGAAGCTAATTCCTAATCCGACCCCTCTATGTTTGATTCCAAAATATGGTTTCCTCCAACATCTCATTTAGTCACATGTAAAATGGGCAAGAACAGACTTCCAAAGAAAATAGTCTTTCTGACCTAGACTAGAATACGAAGGGTAAGATAGATTATTAGCCCAATGAATTATCGAGTGGTTAGAACAAAATTGGAAACTTTGAAATTAAAATTGGGAGATTCACTAATATACCCAATATGGGAGCCCAAATTATAAAAATACCCCATATGAAATGAACTTTATAAACACACCCAAAACTCATTTGCAACATAACAAAGAGGCTTTAACTTCTTATAAATTACAAAACTACCATAAATTTCTTAAAACAAGCCCAACCCCAAAATCTCATAAAAATACCCAAAACACTCAATAGGGCATTAAAGTAATTTAATAATCAATATTAAATTCAATAAGGCCATCTATCATTTTTGGGGTTTTTTTTGGGTTTGTTTATAGAAATTCAATGATGGAGGGTTTATCTATAATATTAGTGCTAAGAATGGGTATATCACTAAATATCTCATTAAAATTTGATCTCATAACAAAGGAAGGGAAATGAGGAAATTTCTCGGAAAACAAACAAGAATGAATGAAGGAGTAGTAAAATTATACTGATCTAATGAGTGAAATGTACAGCTGCTCTTTAATATAGACACGCAAGGCAACAATAGCCAGCTCAGCTTCTTACTGTGCAACAACCAGTAAGGAAAGAAGAAAAACCATGACCAAGATAATGTAGAGGTTATTGGTTATATATGCACAAAAAGTGAAGTGAAGTCATGAATATTATATGTTTTTGTTGCTCATAAATATTTTATGCTTTATTCTTAATATATATATATATATATATATATATATATTGTTTGTTTAGGCATTTTAAAGGCATGATGATTCACGAGAGAGGACCAACCAAATTTGAAATATCTTTTAATATTTAAAAAGATATATAGATTAAGAGTTTTTGATATCGAATACCTTACACTAAATTATGCACGAAACACGCATACTTTCACTCCTAACAAGTCTCATTATGATCACTCTTCCTATATTTAATTAGGGCTCGACCCAAGAAGTTCATCTTACTTCTTTTCATGTTACTTTGAATATTGATCAAGATAGTATACTTGACATAATACTTAATTACCTGAAAAGATATCTTGAAGATAAAATTTCAAATTGTGACCTTACTTTCCGAGGCCCTTGAATGAACTCCCCATGATTATTAATTTTTTAATATAGGCCATAGTCTAAATTATAAGAGAGAGGGAGTTTCACACATACACACACATAGGGGTGGATACGATCCGGTCTAGTTCGGTCCCATTTTCACCTCACAACAGAATCGGAACTTGTACTATTCAACCGCTATGATTTGGTTCGGTTTTGATGAAAAAAAAATTACAAAATCAGTCGGTGTGGTTTAAACCGATTCTAGTATGATTTCTAATTTTTTCAGTTTCAAACCGGATATTTATTTATATATTTTTCAAATTATTTACATATAAAAAAAAACTAAAATTTTATTTTTTGGGCTTAAAATTTACAAATTTACAAATTTCATGCAAAGAGAGATGATTGCGCCCATAAAAGAAATGTGATTTGAAGTTGGGCTTGGGGAAACATTAGTTATGAGATTAGAAATTTAGCACTGGACTTAAATAATTTTTTATAAAATTAAAAAAAAACGTAGTCGGTTTGGTCCAATTTTGTAAGGTGTGAAATCGACACCAGAATCGGTTTGAACCAATTCAATCCGGTTTGATGTCGGTTTGTTGGCTTTTTAGTCAACATGGTTTTTTTTTCCATTTTTTTTCCATCCTGTGTAGCTCGGTGATTTAATTTTTTAGTCTCGATGCCCATCCCTACTCACATTATTAAGTTGTCATAAGAGTTTGAACCTAAGAGCATTGGTTTGCAAGTCAAAGCTTTTTTCCACTGGTTAGACATGTTAGCGAACTCCCTATAATTTCCAAACCTAAAATTAATAAATTAATGTTACAAGACACAAATAGAATTGGAAGTTGACATTGCCACATAGCTAGCAGGACTTTTCACATGTAATAATTATGACACTCATAAATCATATTTTTAAAAATGTTCATTTTAGTTAGAGAAATAAAGTTAGAGCCAGAGATGATTTCCTAATGAAATTTACAACATTTTCATTTACTATTCATTTTTAACACAAATGTTATGTTGTAATAGTTCTTTAAAAGGTGATAATCTTGTTTTTAACTAACCCTGTATTACAAATTCAATGGTTATTTTGTTTTTTATATTCACTTTCAATTAATCTTAGATAACTTCAACTATATTTCACCTTTGTTTGTTAAGTTTTTAAAAAAAATAGTTGCACCAAAAAAAAAAACTGAAAATTCGAATGGTTTCTTTTGACTCCAAAGTGCACGTCGGTTTTTTGACCGCGAAGGCTTACCAGAAACGTCGTCGTCCCGTCCAGTTAGGACGTCTTCGTCAAAGTGGCTTCTGGTCCAGCTTCTAATTAAAGCAACAGCAGAGACTTACAAACTAAAACTTCTCCTCACCTCACCAGAAATTATTCACCAGCTAAACCCATTCTGCTGCTTCACCGACAATGGCGTCTCTGCTGCGTCTTCTTCTCCCGCTGTTCCTTTCCTGCGTTGTTTTGTTCAGCCACCAAGTCAAGTGCGATGGAGGTAAAGTTTTCTTTTTTAAGCATCCATCCATTTGCAATTGATCTAAAACAGCCTAAATCTTGAGACTTTATAACAATGGAGTATTTATATGCTACTGAGTGTTATGCATTCTCTTTCTATGTTTTTACATTTATGAATTCTATTTCTATTTTGGGTTTGTTGCTAATTTATCAAAATGTCTTAAAAATAGAAACCCATCTCAGATGAGATCTGATTTAGATAAAGTATGCCTCTTAGCTAACTGGATCTTGTGGATTTAGTTTTTGGCAAATGGGTAGATTGTAATCTGTCGACTTTTGCTTGAAATCTTCTTGGAGCTATAATCAACACTCTGCATCTCCCAGAATAAGTCTGCAATCTATATATGATTTTTTTTTATAGGAAGACTCTGCAAAAATTATTATTTTGCTATGTTGTTTCTAGTTTTTAAGAAGTTCCATGAACTCAGGGAACACATTCTTTGGGTAAATTTTATACAAGAATGCTTGTTGAAAAGACAGTTGAATTAGACCAACAACAGAACCAATACATTGCTAGCCTAACCCAAAAGTTCACTCTCAAATCTAAGTTGATATGTTGCCGCATGATTGTCTAGTCTAGTGGAAGTGTTGATATTTGGAAGTACTTATCTCTCTTTTGACGTTTACATCCTGACAATGAGTTTTTCCGTCTCTCTCCTTTTTCCAGTAGATGAGGAAGATAGTCTTCTTCGAGGCATCAACGGCTATCGGGCTTCCACCTTGAACTTGAAAATCCTTACAAAGAACGCCAATGCAGAGTGCCTTGCCGATGAGATAGCTGACCAATTCAAAAATCAACCCTGCACAAACACCACAGGCGCCAACACGGTACCAGGCACTGAACCTCAGTTTTCCGACTATCCCAAACTTTTAGCCAAATGCCATTTGAATGTCTCTAACACAAGAGATGGGGTCATAATGCCTGCTTGCGTTCCCAGCCTGGTTCCTAGTCTGGTCCTTACCAACTTCACTAAGTCTCAGTACTCTGAGAGTCTTAATGACACCAAGTATACAGGAATTGGAATTGGCTCTGAAGATAATTGGATTGTTGTTGTTTTGACCACCAACACACCAGATGGAAGCTTTACGAATGCACAAGGGTCACAAGATGAAGAAGAATCTGCGAGTTCAGTTCCGAAGATTAGTTTGGTTCCCTACTTGCTATGTTTGCTGATGGGTTTTATCTTTCATTTGTAAACCAAGAGGATCACCATACACTTTATTTGCTCAGACTATTTCTGTCTTTGTTGAGAGACATCAGTCGAAGGATGCCATAAAACAAGTTCTCTGTTTTTCCCACATCGGAGAGACATGAATATCCAATCAGAGCTGCTTTTTTTTCTTTTTTTTTCTTTTTTCGGTGGAAATAATTTCATTCTTGCATAACTTGATGTGTCTTGTTGTAACTGATAGTAGATTGTTGAACAGATTCATCACCATTGTTTTTGAGCTTTCAACTTCAGAAGTTTTGTGATATGAGTGGGAAAAGAACACGTCAATTGTTTCGTTCTCTGTACTGTACTCATCAGTAATTTAATAAAGATTTGCATTACGTTATTTTATATATCAAGTCTCAACCTTATGGGTAAGGATGAAAATTTTCAAAACATGACATGGTTCTACGATTCCACCAGCATGAAGTTAGTTATAAATCCAAAGAAACTTATTACCAAGAATGAAATCACAAACTTCATAAAATATTAATTTTACCCAACTTAATGATTAGAAGGAACATATGCAAAAATCCAAAGAAACTTATTTCCAAGAATGAAATCACAAACTTAATAAAATATTAATTTTACCCAACTTGATGATTAGAAGGAACATATGATATATCTCTTCCTCAATAGAGCATCCCCTCGTTTTTCCTGGAACCTGTAGTGCATTTGAAAATACCCCCATTGACTAATTTCCAAGAACGAAAAAACCGTTCTGTTGATCGATTTCAGGACTGGCCCCGAGACACCGGAGTTTTATGAAGTTTTACTCATAGAATTTCGTAGAATCATAAAGAGTCTCATAGAGTTTGATAGATTTTATTTATTAAGGAACTATTATTGGTACTCCAAAAACAAAGGTCACTATGCACTCAAAATTCATATGTTATTTAGCCAAATGACATTTGGTAAATATAATTTTAAAACCAGAAGAGGGCAAAGCCCAAACAAATACACAAACAAGCCGAAAGGCTAGAACAAAGAGCAAAGAACAAAACCACAGGCCTACAAGAAGCATTTGATATCAATCTGAATGTCCTTAGGTCTATATGTCCTACAGCTCATGTCTTGGCATGTTCAAAGATTCATAAATGGGAATCACAATCCCTATAATTTATTGACTGAAAGTCATAATTCCAATTAAAGGTTCATTACACGCTGCTAGTCGAAGATACACAAAATTCTGCTTCAAGATTAAAAAAGGAACAATGTCAATCTTACCATTTTTCTGACAACCGAAGTGAACAGGATGATGAACAAAAACAATATATACATAAAAGAAAAAAAAACCTCGTCTCTAATCCATATGTTCCTTGTTGATTTGAAACTGAACTTTTCCAGCATCCACCGGCATTATAGCATCTGATATGTAAAATTCCAATTCTCACTGTCATTACTAATTCATGCGCTCTTTAATCTGCTCTTGTTGAGAAAAAAAAACCTCCTCAGAGCAAGCAATAGGACCCAGGTGGTCTTTGTGATCTTTTCCTTTATCATCAAAAGCAATGCCGAGCTTAGCACAGTTTTTAGTATCTGGGCCTGTAATCCCTTGAAGAAACCCAAAAGGCCCTCTCTTTTCCAGATGGCAAAAAATGCACCTGAAATTGTCTTTTTGGATTTTTTAGATCCGTTTTGAGCTTCCTTGTTACCTTCTTCATCTTCTTCTGCTGCTTGAATCATGACCTTGCACCTGTAGCAGTTCATAACCCAATTTTACCATTATAGTCGATAGGAAGGGAGGTACATGTACTAAATTTAAAAACATGTTTTTGCTATTTTTTCGTGAAAGAATAATAATAAATTATGTGTGCTGAACAGAGAAGATTGATAGAATTGACTATCCACCTGATGGCTGGGTAAGTCAAGCAGGATGCAATACACTTTGAGACAGCACCCAATACAAAAGCAGAGAAGGCAGAAAGAGCTTCTGGAGATGACTCTGTACCTGTTCTTTTGCTCAGCTGCCCCCTCAACAGTCTTTGTTTCAGCTGATCAAATACAGTGTACTGTACAATAGAGCAGCTCAAGATTCAACTTAAGTTGTCTTTTTCTTGCAAGCTAAATATTTGAACTTTTCAGGTGCAACATGTGCATAGAGAGGAAAATCGGGCTGCTAATCATCTTGCTAATGTGGGCCATGATTTGGCTTTAGGTTTGCATGTTTTTTATATCTATTCCTGCCTCTCTTTTTAACGTTTTGGCAGATGATAGATTAGGCTTAGCCCAAGTCAGGGATGTTCCTTGTTACTTTCTTTTTGTTTGTTTGGGCTTCAGCTTACCACTTCACCAAATAAAATAAAATATTTTGCATACATTTGAAAAATTAATATAGAAAATCTCAGTAAAGAGCCATGCGTAGCATTTTTAGCATCTACAGTTATATTGTTGATAATGCAACCCAAAGTCTACTTAAAAAAACTATATATATATATATATATATATATATATATATATATATATATATAAAAGATCATCTTAAAATAACCTTAACAATTTTAAATCCAAACAAAACCAAGTAGATGATACATGTGAGCCATAAACATAGTAGCCTGTATACGGTATATGGTACACTAGAGTGCACACTCAAGTACCTGGATAGATGGGTTAGATGTCAAAAGAAGGGATATGCCAAGACCATCAAATGCCTCAATCCAAGTTCCCTCTGAAAGAGTCTTCCAGAGTCCTTTGGATTTCCCAAACTCACTTGTCTGCATCTTTGAGGATGCTGTATCCAAGGGCTGCAAGTAAAATTCAGAAGCTTGAATATCTTATAGTAAGGACTAAAATTAGTAACTGAAAACCATAAGAGATAATGAAGAAGATATAGATGGGATATGAGGGCTTTAGTAGAAATTTATGTTTGATAGCATACGGTTTGAAAAGGTCTATTGATTCTACATGGCTCATGACTAACAAGCATTCCTTTACTAAGGGAAAACATTGTTTTTTGTATCACTCACCTGTGTCACTATCACTGTGCAAGCCCCGGCAGCGGCTGCAATTATCAAGTTTGCTTTAGTTCCCATGGTTTTATTTCCACTTTTCTCCAAGTATAACCTCTTAAAAAAACTGTATCCATAGAAGTAGATGAACTGTGAAATAAAGGACTGGAAGTTCTTTGTCCCAAGGCCCTGGTATAAAGAAAGCACCTGACGGGTAGAAATTGCTTCCCATAAAACATCAGAAATGTTCCTGCAAATGCCAGAGAAATTCAAATTTTTAAAAAGTAATTTCTCAGGTGAATGTTGCCTTATGAATCATTGGAAATAGCAGTTGTCACAATTTCTTTTGACGTATTTTGTTGCTGTAAAACAAGAGCTGACTTTCAACAAAGAACATTCTGAAGCATTGGAAAAACTACCAATGGTGAATCAAGTTTCCTTCTATACTAAGAGATATACAAGAATACTGTCAGGTGTTAACTTATATACCAAATAACACTGTGCTAAATAACAGAAGAAACGAGAAAGAACTTCTTCGGTGATGAGCTGGATCAAACAAGTTTAATCACAACTAGCTAGCTTTAGTTCATGGAATTTTATCTCATTGATCTTATTGAGGGCTTACCTGGATCATAATGAAAGAGACTAAAAGATAACATTTTGGAGGAATAGTCATATAGAAGAACACAGTTGTATAGGCTCATAGGAGATCTTATGTGAATAATCTTTTGGGACATTGGACATACGGAGAGCAATAAATGAAAATTCGAGTTTGGTTTTCATCTTAATTTAGCATTATATAACACTTTAATTGACTTAATTTGTAGATGCTTAGGGGTTGCTGACAACACTACAAAACACCTACATCTATGCTCAAGAGTCTAATTATAGTAAATGACTAAGCGAAAAGCTTAGAACTTTGAACATGCCGGCCAACAAGGTAAATTGCAATTACATTCCCATTAGAATTTGCAATATGGGCAACACTAAGCTCAAGTCATAGAAACAATTATACCCAAATTACCATAATTGAAAACCCAGAAAAGAACTAGAGTGAAAAAAAACAAAACAATAACAAAATGGGAAGAAAAAGAAGATTATTTATCAAACACAATTATGTGGAATGCAGAGGCTGAAAAATCAACCTGTACTTCTGCTGATGGTGAGCTCGGACTTCAGCTTGATACTTGGTCTTGCAGGTATCAAGTGGGTACAAGATGGTGGTGCTAACCAAAGCTCCAATGGCCCCTGATGTTGCCTCTGCTACAGATTCAAGATCAAAGCCCATCTTCTCCCTCTCTTAAGTTGGCCTTATAAAAAAACAGAGAGAATTGGGTTTTGAGGGAATGAAGAAGAGAAGAAGGCTATGATTTGTGAGTGAAAAAGGCTGAGGTAATGCAATTCATGAGGAGCTGGGTAGGTCCATAATATGGGATGGTGTGCTTTCAGTTAGTAAGCAACTGAAAGTGACGCAGAGAGAGAGAGAGAGAGAGAGAGAGACCAATTGGAACGGGTTGCTCGTAGTTTGTGTATCTTCTTGGGAATCGGAAACGTGAACACTCTTCTTTCTCATCGTCTCTTCGCTTTTAGGACCCGTTTTACAAACGGGTGGATGGATGCCCGAAAAGCCTATTTGGGTTACAAAATGTTCATGAACTTCCCTTATTTACCTTTGGAAGATGTTAATTCTTGGGAGTTTCACTAAAACACCCAAAATGGGGGTTGAAATTATAAAAAAACCCAACATCCAAAACACTTTATAAACACACCTAAAACCCATCATTACACACACTCAAAACTCATTTATAAACACACCCAAAAAATATACAATTGTTGATTTGAGGGTTGATTTTGAGTGTGTTTCTATGTTTAAATAGTGCTTGAGTTTTTTTATAAATACATGTCTAGGATTGGGTTTATTTATAAATTTGTATTAATTCTTTTTCCTTATCTTTTGTCAGATTGGAAGATGTTATTCACACTTCCAAAATGTCATATAAACTGTCAAAACAATTCTCTTTAAAAACTACTTGTTGTAGGTGGCTCTCATAATGCACATTACTTTTGATTTAATGGTAGTTTTTATATTTTGTTGAAAGATGTTCTGAATTCAAATTTCATAAGCGAGATAAAGAAACGAAATAGACGACAAAGAAGTACATAATGAGATTCAAAAAGCGCTAGTAACGTCTTAATACCTTTATTTGAACAACAGATTAATTTTGGTAAGCGAAAGGTATTACTCAAAACACAAAGCTATAAAGTTTCATGCTCGTTCTTCTATCACAGGGCTATCTGTGCTGGTTTTTTGTTGGATATGTCAGCTTTCAAAAATTAGGGCCGCCTAAAAATAAAATAGGACAAAGAGGGCCCAATATGTTAACAATCCCTTTTTGTTGGGTGAAAATGAAATAGTCTTCTTTAAAGTTAGGGCAAATTATAGATCCCAAAACAAACACTCACAACGTCATCGTTTGGTTTTATCTATTTTTATAATTTTTTGAATTACAGATCCCCCTAGCCTTTTCCCTCCATTCAAATTTTTCACTCTCCTGCTTCCCCACACAGAGTGACAGGCGACCCTCAACGGCCCTAAATCAATAGTAGAAGAATCGAATGAACCTCAAGAAACCCTAACATTTCTGGCCGTACAGCTCCACCACCGAGCCCCAAAGATGCAAGACCTCGTCGACTTGTTACGCGAGTCCCTGGTGCTTCGGACCCAGCGCCGGGACGACGGAGGAGGCGGAGGAGGGTTCGGTGACCTGGTCGGGAAGATCGGCTCCAGCATCCGAAAATCGCGAATCGGGTTGTTCTCCAAGTCTCCGGTTCGTGCTCTTCCTCCGGCCGCTTCGAAAGATGACGCGCAGCCGATTCGGTGGCGCAAGGGCGAGTTGATTGGGTCCGGTGCGTTCGGTCGGGTCTATATGGGGATGAATCTGGACTCCGGAGAGCTAATAGCCGTGAAACAGGTCTGCCTATTACTTAGTTTCGCGATTAGATTTGGTGTTTTGATGTTTTGGTACTGATTTTGTGCTTGTTACAGGTGTTGATTGCGGCAAATAGTGCTTCAAAGGAGAAGACACAGGCATGATTCTGATTTTGCAAAAATTTCATTTCTTTTTGTAGAAGTTTTAATTTTGGATTATAGTATTTGTTATTCTTGTTGGATATTGCATAGTTTGCATTTGGAAGCACAAAAATTTGATAATTCATTGAATGAAATAGGCATTTTGATGATAGAGCTTGTATTCTTCTTGGTGTACCGGCAATTAATATATGCACTCATTTGTGGATACTATGAAAATGTTAGTAAAATGAAGGATGTAAGTTTAGTTGTGAAATAATGCTACAAATTTTCAGTTTGAAACTAAGTGATTGCAGTTTTGTTTTTCTAATGTGATGAAATCAGGCTCATATTCGAGAGTTGGAGGAGGAAGTGAAGCTTCTTAAGAATCTTTCACATCCAAACATTGTTGTGAGTATGATTTTCTGCTTTCTTTTATGGAAGTGATGGTGATTATTTACTGTCTTAGTGTTCCGATGTTGTTGTTCTCTTAGAGATATTTGGGGACTGCTAGAGAGGATGATTCATTGAATATTCTATTGGAATTCGTGCCTGGTGGATCCATATCATCTCTCTTGGGGAAATTTGGTTCCTTTCCCGAGTCTGTAAGTAATTGTTACTTCTAAACAATTGACCTCCGGCTTTTGGGATGTCGATTTTACATCTAGAAAATGTTTCCTGTATAGGTTATCAGAATGTACACAAAGCAGCTGTTATTGGGTCTTGAATATCTTCACAAGAATGGAATTATGCATAGGGACATCAAGGTACCTCTCCATGCCCACTATTTAATGTTAATTTAGAGTATAAACTGACCTCTCTCTCTCTCTCTCTCTCTCTCTCTCTCACTTATTAATGGGCGTGCTTCGTATAGGGTGCAAACATCCTTGTTGATAATAAGGGGTGCATTAAGCTTGCAGACTTTGGTGCATCGAAGAAAGTTGTTGAACTGGTAATGACATTTCTATTATGTGCTATTGATAATTGACTTGATTATTTTTTTCATATACATCACTAGTTCTTTTAATTGTTAATACAGGCTACCATAAATGGTGCGAAGTCAATGAAGGGTACGCCATACTGGATGGCTCCTGAAGTTATTCTCCAGACTGGCCATAGCTTGTAAGGACGATTACTCACTCCTATGCTGAGGATGTTCACATTATTCCCAGTTCCCAGTTATACCATGATACATGTTAATCAGAAGTTTTTTTTAAATCTATTTATTAATATATTAATAATTTAGATTTGAAGTAGCTCTATTAAATTTAAGAGGGTTGACTATTTTTTATAGTTTGATTGGTATTAGATGTATATATTGACCATATAATTTATACTGGTGCTAATTTTTTGTATTAAGTCCATTTACACGAGAAGACTACAATCTTTAGCACATTTCTCATCCTAATCTCTTATTAGAAGCATGTATCAGATGTTCTTCTGCATTGAATGATGTGATTCCTCTATTTTAGTGAAGGGAAACTGTTTAAACCTATCTACTCTTTATTTCTGATGCTTGGACCTTATTAGTTTTGAATATGGTTTTTAGCTCTGCTGACATATGGAGTGTTGGATGTACTGTGATTGAGATGGCTACAGGAAAGCCTCCATGGAGCCAACAGTATCAGGAGGTAGCACTTCAAGCTGCTTTTCCCAACTACTAGTTTGATTATTCTGTTTAACATTACTAGTATTTTTAATTTAATGTTGTTTCCTCCAAGAGGTTGCTGACTAAGATAAGGGTTTTCCTTTTCAGGTCGCTGCTCTCTTCCATATTGGAACAACAAAATCCCATCCACCCATCCCCGAGCATCTCTCCGCTGAGGCAAAGGATTTTCTGTTAAAATGTCTAGAGAAGTAAAACTATGATTTCTACTTTTCCCTACTTTCTAACAAATGTCAGTAAGTTATACTTTTTACCTCAACTCTTACCCCCGATAATGTGGTGGCAGGGAACCTAATTTAAGGTGTGCTGCGTCAGAGTTAGTGCAGGTAATTTTGAATGGCAGATTATGTTTCTTGCATATTGTTCATAGTGTAACCAGGAATGAATGGTACATGCATGCGATTGCAGGTTTTATCTAGATATTTGACTTGGTAGTTCATTTTCTAAGGACAGGAAAAGAAAAACAATAAAATCGTGTTTGTCAAAAAGCACGCACATCTGTGGAGGTCTATTTTCTTTTATTTATTTATTCATTGGACAATTTCTGTTGGTCATGTGCAGCATCCATTTGTTACTGGGGATTATCAGGAACCTCGTCCAGTAATTCGCACTTCATTTATGGTCAGTATAATTGATTTTAATTTTATTGTCTCAACTGTTCTATCTGTTTGATAATTATCATTTTCAATAGTCAATAACGACCAAACCCAAAAATAGTTAATGGATGAGTTTTATCAGGAAGCTGGAAACGAGACGACAACACCTGGGACAGATCTTAAGAACTTGTAAGTCTTATCAATTTATGCTTTTGGAATTATTACTGGTTGACACTCTTGCCTCTTCAAACTATATCAACACTTCAGCATGAACCCTTCGATCAGAAGGTCTACCTGTGCAGGCTTGAAGGATATTTGTGATATGGGTACTGTAAGGTGCTCAACTGTATATCCAGGGAGTTTTTCAGGGGGGGGCTCCCGTTGGGGAGCAACCAATAATGATGATGACGACATGTGTCAGATTGATGATAAGGATGACATTATGCTTGGTTCATTTGCAAAATTCAAATCTGTGGTTGGACCTGACGATTTAAACAAGGTATTGAACTTTTTTTCTTTTCCTTCTAGATCATTCAGAATGTAATTAGCTTGAATTGTGATGAATGTTTTGCTTATTTGAAATAGAGTTTCAATCCCATGTGTGAACCAACTGACGACTGGCCACGCAAGTTTGATGAAAGTCTGGAATTGGAGAGAAGTGGAATTAACTTCTCCCCTTGTCAAACAATACACGAGGCTTATGGAACCACTGGAGCATCTGATAAGGTGGAGAGTGAATTCACATTTCCTTGTGGGCCATCAACTGAGGATGATGAGGAAGTTACAGAGTCAAAAATAAGAGCCTTCCTGGATGAAAAGGTACTTTTTTGTGCACACCAAAATTTTTGCCGTATAAATTAATGGTGAAATGCTTTAGCAATGCCATGTTTTCTCAGAGTTTGTCTAATAAAGTTTAACGCTTTAAACTTGCTCCATGAAACTACATCAGGCATTAGATC